TTACACTCAATGTGGTGCAAAAATTCCATGGGTCTAGCTAATCCCTGATCTTCTAGCGTCTTGGCGACCAAAAACTTTTGACGCCGTCCTCCGTATGTTGGGGTTTCCATTGGCGGCCGATCATTGGCCAATGCCATGGCCTGCCTGATCGCCAGCCTTCTGCCCCCCACTGTCAGTGCCCCTCATCCATTCGTCTGGCGCATGCGCTAACCGCATTCTCTCACCGACATCAATGGACTGCTTTGCTGGACGCTGCATCCGGCATCAGGACTCAGGTACCGTACTCCTCGACAAAGTCTCCTAGTGCTGGTGTGTTTTGGCTAGGCAATATCTTGAGCAGTGATAGTGCCAATATCGAGCAATTGTTATAGCCTGTAGCACTACAAGGCTTCAGGGCTACACAGGGCTGTACTACGTAGAAAGGGTTGCACCTTGAGGCACCGCAAAATGTCTATATTTTGGTAAAAATCGCCATGCTAGACGCCGTTCACCCATAAATGTCCAAACCACAGCAGCCATGTGTTCAATGTCGCCGCGGGGTATCCAACAAGCAAGCAAGCTGCCTCCAGTCTCCAACGCCGCCGCGCCCTCCCTATAATACAAACAAGCCAGACCAGTCTCACGACCCCATGCTGCTCGGATTGGGCGGCGCCGCCATGCTGGTCATCTGAGGTGTCTTCTGCGTCGTCGGGCTGGCCTGGTGGAAGCCTGGGTTGCCCGGCTTCTGCATCATCCCCGCCGGTCGTTGGCTGGGCTCCTTGTTGGGATCGACGCCCGGGTAGCAGGCGGCGAGGCGGGCGTACAGCTCCTTCATCGCCAGATCTCGCTCTTCCCGGTCGGTCACGGGGTCCAGCTTCAAGTCGCTCCCCTCGGGCACAATCGGCTGCGCCCTGAGCTTGATGGAGAGTGTCAGTTTCGGGGCTGTCAGGTAGACTGGATGTGGCGGTAATTTGGTGTCTGGCTTGCGATCTGCCATGGCCGCCATATAAGACAGATTCGCCTGGAGTCGTCTCATGCACCTGGGGGCCTGTCAGTACGCACGCACACTTTAGTCAAGTCGGAGCGCCTTACTGAATATAGTCGTTTTGCAGCCCCAGTTCCTCCTCTGTCTGCTTGCGCTCAGGGGTCAGTTTCCCCGCTGCTGCCAGCTCTTTTTTAATCTCTTGCTGCGAGGTCTGTATTTGTATTGACTCATACAGTAGCTCGTGGTTGATGTCGAGTAGCAACGCGAACCTCTCCTTGTCCCGCGCTTCGGTCCCCGGGCTCATGGGAGTCGAACTGGGTGCCGCCATGGCCTGGGCTGCCCTTTGATTCTGGGCAAATGTCGGCGTCCGGGGCGTCGAGGCTTGGTCGGCCGGTTGCTGCTGGAAGTTGGTCGGCGTCTGGCTCTGTGCGGGCGGCGGCGGCGGCTGGAACTGGCCATGCGACGTCGGCATCGCGTTCGTCGGGGTGCCCTGGGTAGAGCTGGACGGTCTTTGCGGCGTGGACACTTGACTGACGCCTGGATGGTTCGGCTGTTGCTGCGCCAGTCTTTGCTGCTGCATCATCTGCGGTGTCTGCTGCATGCCAGGCTGCTGCATCGGGAAGCCCTGCATGCCGCCTGCGCCCATCATGAAGTTGTTGGCCGCAAAGTTTTGGGGGTTCATCTGGACCTGGTTGTATGGTGATCCGCCAAACTGCTGCTGGTAGCCTGCCACTGGGCCCCCCTCGTCAGCATGGAACAAGAAAAGCGAGTCTGATGCGCCGTGGCACGACGAAGCACTTACTCTGTCCATTGGCGGCCATCTGCTGCATCCCGGGGTTCTGCATCATGCCGCCCGGCATCATCTGGGGATTGCCACCAGGGAACGCGCCCTGGGAGTTCATCCCGGCGAACTGCTGCTGCTGGTTGTACATCATCTGCTGTTGTTGCTGTGGTTGCTGCTGCTGCGGCTGGCCCTGCTGTTGGCCCTGCTGTGGTGCCTGCTGTTGCTGCTGCTGCGGTGCGGCGTTGTTGAAGTTGCCTGCGCCGGCATTGCCAAAGCCATAGCCGCCCGAGTACATGGCTGGCTCGCGAACCTGTTATGCAGGGAGGTCAAGGCGGGTTCGCTCGATCGGTGGGTCGAACAGGGAGTGCTGATCGCAGGATTCGAGGTCAATCGCCCGGACGTGGTCTCGCAAGTTGTCGATGGTGCGATTCTGTTGTTTGCGCAATATGATGGCTGTTCACCCCGCGTCGCAGTCGCACTTTATGATAACGTCGCGCCTGAAGGATGGGTATGCAGGACGTGCGCAGGAACACTGCCGGCTGAGTGCCTCGCTGCGTATCGCGGGCTGAACTTTTGAGGAATGTAGGTTGTCAACCTGGAGATGCGATCCCAACAGCAACCTCAGAGTCATAAACGGGAGGTTTCGGCGAAATAGACAAGTCGTTGGGAGGCGCGAGGGTGGTGTTTCGCAGCTGGGAGGGTGGCTTGGCAGTCGAGTGACGACCTGATATACGAACACGTGATCGACGCGAACTTTCAAGGCGACAGGCTGGTGGGGTTGAACTGGCAGAGAGGGAGAACGTCAACAGAATGCCACCCAATGCTTCGCTCTGCAACGACCTTATTAATAAGAGCTGCTGGCTGAAAATTCAAATTTGTCGAATTCGGACGCCCAGGCAGGGCAAGGCAAGGTAAGGCAGCCCACCTGTCGGACTCTCCTGCGCCAGGTGGATCGCGCGGACCGGAGCGAAGCTGGCTTGAGGCTTGACCAGCTCAGCTGCAGCCTGCAGATGCAGCTGATACGGGAGGAGCTCAGGTACGTATAAATTACGAGTGGACGTACCTTAATTACTCAGTACCAGCACGACGCTCACAAGCGAGGCCATCATCGACATTCTGTGACTCTGTCGCCAGATACTACACCTCGTCCACTGCGACTATTCCACCTCCACGTCCGGCTTAGGTCAAGTCCACGGTTCCTCAAGGCTCATTCTGCTCTACGGATACTTGTCGTTCCGACTCGGTCCTCCCCGCCGTTCATGCAGCGCCGATCGCACGTCTCCAACACCTTGAGAGGCGGGCAATGCGCACCGGCTCGCTGATGTCCGACCTCTGTCTACCAGGCTTGATGACTCGAGTTTGCGAAGGCGCCTGCATGAGCGGTCGGTGCCTCTGGAGTGCGTTGTTTCATGTGGCCTACGTACATGCACTGAGACCACTCGTGAGGCTTCACCGTTGAGGCCATCGCGGCGTGGCCGAGATGCTTGTTGTTGATCATCGTCGGATCTGCCACTTCAAGGTAGAAGAGGTACGCAATAGTTGACGTGGCCAACACCACTATGGAGAATCGTCAACCTTTGATATTGGCAGTCTGTTCATGGCTGCTGTGGATGAGTGCCTGTGCTAAGGTATAGACCTCTCTACAGCCCTGTGCGGACTTTAGGTACCTTCCTGAGGCTTCATACCGTTCATACAAGCATTGCTCGACTTTGGCACTACCCTTGACAAGGATATTGCCTGCCAAGACAGACCAGCGGTCGCGACTTTGTCACAACATCATCACAACACATGTCAAGCTAAACAACACATCTCTTCCATTGATTCTGCAGCCCCCATCGACTAGACTTCCTCGCCCTCCATCTTCTTCGAGATGCCCATGGCCCTGTTCATAACCTCGTTGGGATCGGTGCCGGCCGTGGCGTCGAGGACCTCCAGGTTGCCCTTGTCGTCCCTGCCGCCCGTCCTGTACCCCGAGTGGCTGCCGAAGACGTACCACGTGTAGATGGTCGTCAGCGCGGTGACGGTCAGGAAGGCGAAGATGGTCCAGTTGCCCATGCTGTACATGGGGGACTGGTAGCTGGGGAAGAGGAAGGGCGCGGTGATGCCGCCCGTGTTGGAGATGGCAATCATGCCGCCCGTCGCCAGCGCGGTCGCGGTCGATCCCTGCACGGTGGCCGTCCTGTGCTGTTGGGGGTCGTCTTAGTACGAGCTAGCTGATAATAATAGGGGCAGGGAGAAACTTACGGCCACAAAAGGCAGGACAGCCGCGTTGGTGCACGCAATCATGCAGAGCGCGGCGTAGCGGACGCCCCAGTGCCGCACGACGGCGAGGAGGAGGTAGCCCGTGGCGACAAAGGCACAGGCCCCGATGACGTGGCGGGAGCGTTCCTTGGTCCTGTCGCTGTGCAGGCAGTTGCCGATGATGACAATCATGGCAAAGACGTTGGGGGGCACGGTGAGCAGCTGGGCGTCGTGGCCCTCGAAGCCGAGGGAGGCGACGATGGTCGGGGCAAAGTAGCCAAAGGCGTTGAGGGAGTTGGCCATGAGGAAGTACTGGGCGGCAAAGACCCAGAAGAAGGGGTCGGCCAGGGTCTTTTTGGCAATGGCCGCGTCCCAGTGCTTGTCGCTCATGGAGGGCGCGTAGGGGCCGAGACGCTTGACGGCAAAGGCGCGCTCGTGGGGCGTGAGCCAGGCGGCGGTCTGGGGGTAGTCGGGCAGCCAGAACCAGACCATGACGCCGACGAGGACGGCGGGGATGCCCTCGAGGATGAAGAGCCAGCGCCAGCCGGACAGGCCGGCCTTGCCGTTGAGGAAGGAGATGGCGGTGGCGAGCAGGCCGCCAAAGGCGCCGGCGACGGCGATGGAGGAGGCGAAGATGGCCATGCGGGTGGCCCGCTCCTCGGGCTTGTACCAGAAGCAGAGGTACATCATGATACCGGGGAAGAAGCCGGCCTCGGCGAGGCCGAGGAGGAGGCGGACGGTGAGCAGGCCGCCGTAGGTGGACACGGCGGCGGTGCAGATGGTGATGATGCCCCAGGAGACCATGATGCGGGAGATCCAGCGGCTGGGGGAGAAGTACTTGAGGAGGATGTTGGAGGGGAACTCCATGAGGACGTAGGGGACGAAGAAGAGGGCGACGGCGACATTGTAGCGCTGGCCCGTGAGGTTCAGCTGCGTGATGATGTTGTCCTCGGGCGTGTCATTGTTGAGAGTCCGGGCGTTGCCCAGGTTGACTCTGTCGAGGTAGTCTGGTGGTCTATTGTCAGAATACTCGAACGCAGTATTGGATGGGCATGGTGGTGCGCACTCAGCAGGTAGGTGATGCAGATCCAGGGCAGGATGCGCAGGTCTTGCTTGCGGACGATGCGCCGCTCCATCTCCCTGTCGGCGAGGTCGACCGTCTCCAGACCGGGCACGTCGAGCGACGGCGCGGTGGAGATGAAGGACTTCCAGCTGACCATGTTTGCGTGGTCTTTGAGGTTGAAGATACTAGTCTACTGGACTTGGACTTGGTGCACACGGGGCCGTGCTGGAGTATGCCAGGCTGCCTCTTCTTATAACCTGCATCTCTGCCTCCCACGTCTCGTGTCGACGCGATAACCACTCCGTCCTCGGGACTGTGATGCGGATGGGGGGGGACTCGGTCGGCACCCAGCCATACCCTACCGAGGAATGTTCCTCGCCATACGGAGATGCGTCCTTTGTCCTTATCTCTGGCAGCTACGGTATTAGTCTAGTTGCTGGTAGCGGGCCAATCAACCAAAGGCGGATCAAGTGCCGACGAGGTGCCGCGCATGCTGTCAACGTCGGATCGCCGAGCGGCGGGGCCTATCTATCGTGTCCAAGGGACCAGGACCCCAACTTGGAGTCGCTGCGACTGCGAGATAGGCATTTTATAGAGTCGTGCGTCGTAGTTCGTACGGAGGAGCCTGGGGTAACTGGACCCTGGCGCATGCCGTCTTTGCGTGCTCACGTAAAAGCGTTGGTCATGTCACTGGCGTGCGGGCGTCGATGCGCGGGCTCAGGGGTCAATGTTTATCCACGTCGGATACATACCTACGGCGTGGTCTTACTCTGGACTTTTGAAACTCGCGCTCTGGACGCTACGCAAAGTTTATGCCTCCCAAGGAGATTGCGAAAAGCATGTCACGGTTGCCCGAAGAAAGGAGAGAGAGAGAGAGAGACTATCGCGGATGTCCGACATCGGCCGCTGCATGGAGGGCTATGGCAGGACGTGAGGCCACAAAACCGCGTCTCTGCCGCCAGGAATGAGTCCGCTGTGGCAGTTTTCGGCGAGACAATGCCGGCACCGTCAGAGTGAGTCTGAAATGGCGTTCAAGGGCCTGCTCGCGCCGCTTTCTCGTGGATGACCGACTCCTGATGCTAGCGGTGACTACCCTGTAGCCTCCGGTGCCGGCCAGGGCCGCCAGGCACCGCAGAGAATCATGTGAACCCCACCATTGATGACACTGGCAGAGTTACCCCACCACGAATTCGGAATGACCACAATTGCTCATGGCCAGTTTGTCTTCACCAGCGCGACATCACGACCTTAGGAACCCATCTCGCGGAGGACCACCAGCCAGGTCAATTGGCCTGCAGACGCCGCCACCATGTCGCCCTTCAACCTCGAAACCTGCGCTCGCCCCAACATCCTCGCCCTCCAGCCCTATCGCTGCGCGCGCGAGTCCGTCTCCCCTTGCCAATCACTCTCCCGACTACCATCGGCCCAGCTAACATCCCCCCTTTGCAGTGACTACAAAGATGACGGCACCAACATCCTCCTCGACGCCAACGAAAACGCTTACGGCCCGTCCCTGCCGACCTCGTCCTCCTCCTCGCTCGTCTCCCTCTCCGGCCTGAACCGCTACCCCGACCCCCACCAGCACGAGCTCAAGGCCCTCCTGTGCGCCCTACGCAACACGCACGCCCACACACCCAAGACCATCCGCCCCGAGAACCTCTTTGTCGGCGTCGGCAGCGACGAGGCCATCGACGCTCTCCTCCGCGCCTTCTGCGTCCCCGGCCGCGACAAGTGCCTCGTCTGCCCGCCTACCTATGGCATGTACTCCGTCTCGGCCCAGGTCAACGACGTCGCCCTCGTCAAGGTGCCCCTCCTCCCCGCCCCGGGCTTCGGCCTCAATGTCGATGCCATATCGCGCACCCTGACGGAGGACGAGCACATCAAGCTCGCGTACCTCTGCTCCCCCGGCAACCCTACCGGCGCCCTGCTCGCCAAGGCCGACATTGAGACGCTCCTGCGCCACCCGACCTGGAACGGCGTCGTCGTCGTCGACGAAGCGTACATTGACTTTGCGCCCGAGGATGCCTCTCTTGCCGAGTGGGTCGCCGAGTGGCCCAACCTCGTCGTCATGCAGACCCTCTCCAAGGCGTTTGGCATGGCGGGCATCCGTCTCGGCGTCGCGTTTGCCAGCGAGCCCATTGCGCGCATCCTCAACAGCATGAAGGCCCCCTACAACATTGCCAACCCGACCTCGGAGCTCGCGCAGGTGGCCGTCGGCCCAGAGGGTCTGGCCGTCATGCGGCGACACAGGGCCGAGATTGTGCGGCAGCGCGAGCGGCTCGTCGAGGAGTTGCCGCGGGTCGACGGCGTCGGACGCCTGCGCGGCGGTACGGCGAGCAACTTTTTGCTGTACGAGATGTTGGATGCCCAGGGGCGACCGGACAACGCGACGGCGCTTGCGGTGTATGAGCGTCTCGCGGAGAACCGCGGCGTCGTGGTCCGCTTCCGGGGCAAGGAGCACGGGTGTCTGGGCTGTCTGCGCATCACCGTCGGCACGGAGGAGGAGGTGACGCGGTTCCTGGGGTCGATCAAGAGTGTCCTGGCCGAGGTCAGGGGGCTGAAGCCGGAGGAGGACGAGGAGGCCAAGGAGAAGGCCGCTAATGGGGTGATTGCATAGGATTTCTGCATAGACAAGACGAACACGGCGTTTTGGGATAGAATTTCTTTTTATTTGCATCATTAGATTTTATAAACTATGACGTATCGTGTCGATACGGGTCCACGGGCGTCCACTCGACATCCCTCACCGTCTGGATGGCGTCGCCTCGCAACGGCGGCGCAGCGTCCTCGATAAGCCACCCCTGAATCGCCTCGAGCGCCGTCATCTGCGGACCGAGCCCGACGTTGCCATCGTGCCCGCCAACATACCACTTCATCCCACAGCGGTGCCCGTCCGCGCCACCCGTGCATGTCGCGGCCGCCGCCATGGCCGAGGCGTTCATGTACCTCTCAACCGTGGGCCGCAGCGAAGGCACCATCCAGGTGGCCTGCCACATGTTGCGGGCGAGGTAGGCCTTGTGCGTCTCCATGTCGGCGTTGCACCTGTCCGCAGGCTCGCAGGCGCCCTCGTAGAGGATGTCGGTGGCGTTGCCATAGGGGCCGAAGAACCATGCAGCGCCGGCGAGGAGGTTGGTGGCGCGGTCGACCCAGCGGGGGTCGCCCGTGTGGTTGGCCATGACGGCGGCGCCGTAGAGGTAGACACCCGAGGTGTAGGTGTAGCTGGCGCGGTTGACCTCGGCGCAGTCGTTGGCCGAGTCGGTGCCGTCGTAGACGTGCCAGGCGTCGTGGTCGACGAGGCCGACGTCCCAGGACCAGTCCCAGGCGCGGTCGGCCCAGGCGCGGTAGGTGTCGTTGCCGGTGGCGCGGGCCATGCGGGCGGCGATCTGGAAGAAGCCGCCGTTGGTGATGGAGTTTTTGTAGTTCATGCCGTTGGGGTTGTCCGGGTAGATCTGCCAGGTGAGACCGCCGCCGCAGTGGGTGGTGTTCCAGCGGGACTGGAGCGAGTTGAAGACGTTGGCGCCAATGGCGAGCCACGAGGGCTTGGTCGCGTCGGGCTGGGGGAAGTTGCGCTCGGCGGCCGAGAGCGCGGCCGAGCCCCAGAAGTAGAGGTCGTCGTTGCCCTCCTCGCTCGCGTGCTCGGGGGGCATAAAGTCGTGGTTGGGGCCGAGGTTGTAGGGCGACAGCAAGGCCTCGATGACCACGTCGTTGTAGCTCGGGTCCTTGGTGTAGTGGTAGTAGTCGAGGAGCGTGCCCCAGAGGGCGCCGGCCACCCACCAGTAGTAGGGGTCTTGGAGATCGCCGACGGCCTGTTGTGGTGGTCAGTGTCGTCTTTGGTGAGGGACGTGATGTCCAGGGTGGGAGTTGGGTGAAGGTAAGGTCACTTGTCACTTACCAATGGGTTGCTGGACGTGTTCCCATTGTAGTACGTCATGGCATCGTGGACAATGGTCGCGGCCACGTTACGGATTGAGTCTGCGGGCGTCGGTTAGATAGACCGTCGAAGGAGAATGGTGTCGGTGAGGATGCACTCACAAGGAATGTCGAGGTCGAGATACTTGGGGGCGAGGACGCCGTCGACAGCAGCGCCCCCAAGGCTGCCCACAACGGTGATGATTTTTTCAAGCTTCATGACCACGTCGAGGAATCCCTTCATAGGGTATAATGCTTTTCTTTTCGTTCGCGGGGGAGGCTATCGTCCGGCGACAGGTGCGCGGCGTCGTTGACCAAGGTGGGTGAACCGTGAGACTGGAGTGAACGGCAAAGTGCGGCGCAGAGAGGATGAAATGATCCAGGAATGAAGACACAATGTATGAACAGGATATGAAGAGAAAGCGCCAGGCTTGGTGAGTGAAAGGTCAGCAAGAGGTGAGGCCAAGAGGTGAGGCCAAGACGGGTGGTCGGACAGACGGGTGTCATCTGACAGCACCAAGATCGAGGGCCGCGATGGATGTTATACGGGTGCCAATGTGCCACCGTTACACCATGACAGGGAGCGGCCGTCGTGTCGCCTGCAGTCGTCTGCAAGTCGGACAGCGCATTCAGCCGCCGTGGATGGATGGATGGATGGATGCATCATGGACCAGACGGTGACACGACGGCCAGTCAGTGCGCCGCCTGCCCTGCATCATCTCGCTTTGTCTCTCGTTCTAGCGCCGAACAAACAAAGAAAGGGCGCTTTGTTGGAGCGCGCGGCACCATGCTGCAGCGTATGAAGCGCTATTGAAAGGAGATCTGGGGAATAGTAGGGGCCAAGACCACAAAAGATCGCGCCGATGGATCAATTGGAGGAGAGAGACAGGGGAGAAATATGGAAGCGGACCCCTGTCACTGACGTTTCTATTCGCGAATCGTGTCCCTCAAAGGCGCTTGCACAAGGCGCTCCAACGTGAAACTCGAAACTCGAAACTCGAAACGTTGCCGCCGTTTGGGCTCTAGTCCTTGTCTCCGTATTCGAGCCGAGACTTGGCCTCATTGGGAAGGTTACGTGTAGAATCCGTTCAAGCTTGTTTTCCGCTGAGTGCAAGCAGAAAGCCAGGGCACCCGCCACGTTCACTCTCATCACATACGATAGTGCAAAGCATGGATAGTGAAGCACCGTCACTTGACTCACCCATCGCGCTCCAAGTGAATCCAATTCGAGGACTTCTATAGAGTTTTTGTTTTTGTTAGACAACTTGTGCTTATAATTGAACAAATACTAACGGTATGCCACACATGCGGTTATGTGTCCGTGCTTCTCTAGGGTAGCCTCAATGACAGGGGCGATTTCGACAACTGAGAACTAGAGCTAACAATCTCACAGCACGCAGAGACTTTAGTTTTGATACCACTGGTAGTTGAGCCAAGTATCAACAGACAAGCCTCTGCATTATTTCGCCAACGACTGCGAAAATTATTATCGATGCCTCTGATTATTTTCGATGCCTTTTAAGAAGAAACACGGGTCGCTGTCGCGGCTTCAGCTCATGTGGCTATGCTGCAGCTTTGCTTACTCCTGCACCAACAGAGACGCTGGCTATAAATCGTCGCATTAAGGGCCAACATCGAGAAGCTGAGTGGAGTTATTGCTTGAATAGAACGACCAAAAGGATCTATACTGTTCCCCTTGGCTCAGTGGTTGCGCTGAGAAGCCACTGCGTACACGCGGGCACGAGAAGGCTGCTGCCCCGCTCGGCGGACGGCCCGGGAGGTCTGGGCAGATATTGCGGGGCATCACCGGCCGCCACCGGGAATATGTGGATCCGCCCGACCGGGGGAGGCCGGACCTAAAGGGGGCCGGACTTCTCACGGACTTTTTCGCGCGGACATAAGTTCGACGACAGCGTCCGGAAATATCGCCAGAGTCCAGCGTTTCTGCCGTCTGCTAGATTTCATACCAGAATATCAGGCAGTATTTCGCAGGCACATTCATGAGCGTATTGACACAGCAAAACTGCCAATTCTTAAGTCCGGCCCAAGGACAGTCAGTATCCTCGATAGACCCCGGGTATGTCCAGTGCTATAAAATGCCATGAGTGCCCCTCCAGACACTCCACGACACAAGCCAACCCAAGCCGCTCAAATACCACTAACCACCATGCCTTTCCCCGACCACGCAGCCATGGGCGCCGCCTCCCTCCTCCCCGCGCAGCCCCCCCTACCCGTCTTCAGCATCGCCCCCGTCACCATCCCCTACCCCAACCGCCCCGTCGACCTCCAGCTGCGCGTCTCGGCCCCAGTCCTCTCCTCTACGGCGGCGAAGCAGCCCCTCCCCATTGTCATCATCTCCCACGGCATGGGCCGCAGCAACTGGCTCAACTCGCTCGCCGGCTACGAGCCCCTCACCCACTACTGGGCCTCGCAGGGCTTCGTCGTCCTCCTGCCCACCCACCTCGCCGCCGTCAGCCTCGGCTTGCCCCCGCCCGCCGCGGACAATGGCATGTTCTGGCAGGATCGCCCCGGCGAGATCAGCTTCCTGATCGACCACCTTGACACCCTCGAAACTCTCGTCCCCCAGCTCCAGGGCCGCCTGGACAAGACCAACATTGCCGTCGCGGGCCATTCCCTCGGTGGCTTCACGGCCAGTCTCCTCCTCGGCGCGACAAACACGTCCCCCATCACGGGCACCACCGTCCGCGCCCACGACCCGCGCGTCAAAGCAGGCGTCGTCCTCGGCGGCACAGGCCACGGAGGCGATAGTCTGTCAGACAATGGACGCAAAATGGTCCCCTTTTACGACGTCAACTTTGACACCATGCGGACACCCGCGCTCATCATGGCCGGCGACGCGGACCTGAGCCCCCATCTCACCGACAGGGGACCCGACTGGCACTGGGACGGGTACACCCACGCACCCGGTCCCAAGGATCTATTCAAGGTCCGCGGTGGTGGACACGGCTTTGGCGGCGTGGCGGGCTGGTCGGCGGCTGAGACGGACGACGAGAGTCCCGAGCGTCTGGCTGTCGTGCAGCGCGTCTCGTCTGCGTATCTGCGTACCGCGCTGTATGGCGATGATGCGTGGGCGCGGACGCTGCGGGTCGTCGAGGGGCATCCGGAGTTGGGCGCGGCAGAGAGCAAGTAGACGAGGTCTAGACTAGATAGTTAATCACAAGTCAGCATGGTAGCCGCCTGTCCAAGCCCCCTCGTCACTGCCCGCCCTCAGAAACTCCATCCAGCCGGCGTCGTCGCCCATGGTAAAGTCAGACGTGGCGGCGTTCGGCCACATCATGGAGAAGACGCCGTTGATTTGCGTCTGCGGGCTCTCGCCCACGGGATGGTCGGGGCCCAGCCAGGACGCCGACTCTGCCATCTCTTCGTCCACGCTCGTCGTCTGCTGCTGCTGCTGCTGCTGCTGCTGCTGCTGTGGGAGCGCCACCTCCTCAGACGACAGGAACCGCCCACACAGCCCGACAATGACGCTGTGACACCGCGCCGAGCTGAGATTCAGGGGCGCCATGGCGGCAATGGTGCGCAGCGTCCGGGTGATCTGCGCGCGCCATTCCTGGGCGGCCGCGCTCGTGGGATCGTTGCGGAGGCAGATACAAGGGATCAGGGCGGCCTGGAAGAGGAAGTACAGGCCGTACCACGCGGCGAGCCGGTCGTGCGCGCGGGTGTCCCAGAAATGGGCAATCATGGCAATGGTGGACTCTGCGTCGGCCAGACAGCGCTCATACGCCCTGGCGCTGGCCGTGTCGGCCTCGTCGCGCCGCCGTAGGGCGCGCCGTATGACAAAGGGCCTGTACATGATGACGCGCAGGTTGCGCAGGCGCCAGGCCATAACGGCATGGGCGAGGGCGTACCGGGGCGGGAGGGTGGTGTCGTCCACAATGTCCTCGGCAAAGTAGGGGGGCACGGCGGCGCGCCAGGGCTCAATGGTGTCTTGCTCGAGGCGGAGGAGCTCGGCGGCGCTGGGCAGGGGCTTGGAGATGACGCGGTCGTAGCACTCGGCCGTGGCCATGTGGAAGCGGGCCTGGGTGGCGACGGCGGAGTAGGGCGTGATGTTGGGGCTCTCGGGGGGCATGGCCTTGGAGGCGGCGGTGAGCTCGCGGTCCTCGACGTTGCGTGGGAAGGCGACCTCGACGCCGCGGTAGGGCCCTCGAGCATCCTCTGCTGGTCCGCATCGGGGGCTTGACCGCCTTGGGCTGCTGCTGGTGCTGGTCCTGCTGGTGCCGTCGTGGATGGACGACATGAAGGCGTCGACGTGTCCGGGTTGGCGTGTCTGGTCTGCTGCTGTTGCTGCTGCTGCTGCTCCCATGTCCTCAGATGCGACGGGACGAGGCTGCGCATCTGGCGCACGAGGCCCTCGGCCCTCTCGAGGCGCGTCTCGACCTCGGTGAGGTGTCTGCAAGGTCAGCACGGGACTTGTGGTCAATACTCTCTGCCGGTGAAAGCCAATACATACTTGCGCGTCAGGGGCGTCCGTGCGTGCTTCTCATAGAGACAGTGCCGGCGATACTTGAGACAGAGGTTGCACGTCGGCAGGTCGCGATTGCAACGGGCCTTGCGTCGCCGGCACTCCTTGCAGGCCTGGTCCGATGTTCCGATCATGTCGAACAGAGGTTCTTCATTCGAGGAGGAGCCCATGGAAGGGTCCGCGTTGACAGGCTGGTCCATTGTGCATGCGACGGACGACACTGACCGTGGGCGCTTGATATCAAATGGCAGGTCGAGAGTCGCCCTGGGGGGGTGACGGTCATGTATCATCAACCAAGATGCTGGGCCAGCCTCGTTCTGGCAGAGAGCTAAATCGCTATCGAACAATCGAACTAATAGAGTCAAGCCTGGCGCACCACACCTCGACCCCGAGTCAGGCGCGGGCGACAGTCACCCTCACCCTCGCCCTCAGTCCGCACTCCTCCCTCCACAGACCACCCCATCTTCCCCAGATCATGGACTCCCTCCCCAGGCCCACACAGGCGCAGAGTCTGGGGCATGCATATCTCGCCTTGTCCTGGCGTGATGACCACGAGTATATTATGAGTCCGCGTCCGCCCTGACGGCATAGCGGAGGATATCGCCTCAACAGACATCATCAGACCGTCAGACTCCCATTCTCACAATGCGCCCTGTCCAAACCACCCAGGTCCAGCGCGACGCCAGCATCGTCGGCCCAGAGCTCGCCGAGGTGCTGCCCCGGACGGACAAGTACTGGTTCCAGCAGCCTCACCTGCTCCGCCTCAACCTGCTGCTGCTCATCCCCCTGCTCTCCTCGTCCGTCTCGGGCTACGATGGCAGCCTCATGAACGGCCTCCAGTCCCTCCACCAGTGGCGGTCCTACTTTGGCCACCCCCTGGGCTCCCGCCTCGGCCTCATCAATGCCGCCCAGTCCATCGGCTCCGTCCTCGCCCTCCCCTTTGTCGGCACCCTCTCGGACCGCTTCGGCCGCAAGCCCGTCATCCTCGCCGGCGCCCTCATCATCTGCGTCGCCGCCGCCCTCCAGGCCGCCTCCGTCAACTACCCCATGTTCGTCGTCGCCCGCGTCCTCGTCGGCTACGGGGGCATGTTCCTCGTCCAGCCTGCGCCCATGCTCATCGCCGAGCTGGCCTTTCCCACACACCGCGGCAAGTACACCTCGGCCTTCTGGACGCTCTACTACCTCGGCGCCATCCTCGCCTCCTGGACCACCTTTGGCACACAGGCCCACGAGGGCACCGTCTCCTGGCGTCTGCCCTCTGCCCTCCAGGCCGGCTTCCCCCTCGTCCAGCTCTGCTTCTACTGGTGGCTGCCCGAGTCTCCACGCTGGCTCGTTGCCCAGGATCGCACCCGCGAGGCAGCCGAGCTGCTCAGGCGGTACCACGACCCGGACACCCCTGAGTCGCCCCTTGTCAGCCGCGAGCTGGCCGAGATTGTGCAGACCATCCAGAACGAGCAAAAGGCAAAGACGACCGGCTGGGCCGCTCTCGTGAGCACCCCGGGGAACCGCAAGCGGACCCTCATCGCCGTCTGCACCGGCGCCTTTGCCCAGTGGAACGGCATCGGCATCGTGTCCTACTACCTCACCCTCGTCCTCGACTCCATCGGCATCACCGACACCTTTACCCAGACCCTCATCAATGGGCTGCTGCAGATCTTCAACTTTGCCGCCGCCCTCGGCGCCGCCTTTCTCGTCGATCGGCTGGGCCGCCGCACCCTCTTCCTCTGGAGCGGAATCGGCATGTTCGTCTCCTATGTCATCTGGACCGCCTGCTCCGCCGTCAACGCCGAGACGGGCAACAAGGCCGCCGGCGTCGTCGTCGTCGTCTGTCTGTTTACCTACTTTTTCCACTACGACATTGCCTACACGCCGTATGTTCTTCTGCCTCTGCCTCTGCCTCTACCTGTACATACGACTGACTGCCTGACCACAGACTCCTCTTTGGCTATCCCACCGAAATCTTCCCCTACTCCCTCCGCTCCAAGGGCATCGCCGTCGAGCTCTTTGCCATCTACGGCTCCCTCATCATCGCCGCCTTTGCCAACCCCATTGGCATGGACAATATTGGCTGGCGGTACTACATTGTCTTTTGCGTCCTTCTCGTCGTCTTCTTCGCCGTCACCTACTTTCTCTTCCCCGAGACAAAGGGCTACAGCCTCGAGGAGATTGCCCGCGTCTTTGACGGCGAGGATGCCGAGCACGACGAGAGGGTCAGGGCGGCCCAGGACGGCAAGCTGGAGGAGGTGGCGCCGGCCAGTCACCATGAGAAGGTCTAACTGCGTCCTTACCTCGTTTGTAATACTAGTATGCAGGTATTTGCCACGTAGCCTTCAATGGACGAAGCTACGTACAATCAATGCACATTACTCGCACTGAGCCATCTTCATGTTCATCTCTTGCTCTGCAGTCTACCTCGCCGTGTACCCCCCGTCCACCACAAAGTCCGCCCCCGTCGTGTAGCTAGACGCATCGCTCGCCAGGTACAGATACACACCCTTGAGCTCCCTCGGGTCCGCGTCCCGGCGCAGGGGCGTCAGCGCAAACCATTCCTCCTTCATCGCACACGGGCAATCCCCCGAGATGGCCGTGTCCACGTAGCCCGGGCTGACCGAGTTGATGCGCCCGCCCCATTTCGCCCACTCCACCGCCAGCGACCGCGCCAGGTGGATGCACCCGGCCTTGCACGCGTTGTAGCAGCTCTGCTCCTGCGGCACGTTGGCCGCGTGCCCGCTCATGCTCGCCGTCACCACCGCCACGCCCCGGCCCTGCGCGCGGAAGACGCGACCCGCCGCCCGGAGGCAGTAGTACGTCCCGTCAAAGTCGATGGCCCGCACGCGGTCCCAGTCCTCGACGCGGTCGTCGAGACCCCCCGCCTTGGTCGGCACGCCTGCGTTGGCGATCAGGACGTCCAGACGGCCAAAGTCGGCCACGACGCGCGCGACGGCGGCCTCGACGGCTTGGTGGTCGCGGATGTCGACCTGGTATGTCTCCACCTTGACGCCAAAGTCGGCTGTGATCTTGGCGGCGAGCGTGGTCGACTGCTGGGACGAGTAGTACCACAGCGCGAGCTGCGCGTGTCAGTCTGCGTACACCTTGAGAGAAGACAAGGTGGTACGTACGTTGGCGCCCGCCTCGGCGAGACCGCGTGCAATCTCGTAGCCGATGCCACCGCAGCCGCCTGTGATGATCACGGTGCGGCCGTCGAGACGCAGGGACTTGAAGACACTGTCCTCGACGGGCGGGTTGGGCGCGCGGATGGACACGGGATTGTTGGCGGACATGGTTGCTTTGTGATGTAGGGCTGAGAAGCACAGGCAGTCGGGCTAGGCAGGCTGAGGAGCGATGTTGAGCATCGAGGCGAGAGACGACATGGCTCGCTGTGCTGTTATAGTAGATAGCATGTATCATGAGATATGTGAAGAAGATGGGTAGCTTCTTCTTGCCCCGTTCTTGGCCGTCGAACAATACCCCGAGCGCCCAAGGGCCACTCACTCCGTGAAGCGCTCGATGACCCTAGGTCAGGCAGCTGGCGTGGATGAGGGACTCGGGGAGGGCGACAGATGTCCGGTGGTCCATGTGTGCTGGATTCCTATCAGAAAATGATAGGACGGCATACGGACTCGAGGAGGGACTATCTGGGCCGTCTGTCGATTCTGGGAGACAATAAACAGAGTCGACTTGTAGACATTGTAGGTGAGAGAAAAGTGAAGAGTTGAAGACTGGAGAGAAAGAAAGGGGTTGGTTGACCCATTGACGTCTGTGTGTATTGACCTACCCTATACGGTGTATCTACTATCAGTCATCGACTCATCACTCCTAATACTGACCAGCCTCCTCCACGCTGTGAATCACAAGATCCGCCCGCCCCTCACTATGCCTCATCACAAACTCCCCATTGACCATGTCATTGCGCTCAGCCCTCGCCAGTGCCTCCTCCATAGTTCTCTCAATCCCAGCCTCAACATGCCGCGCGGCGACCCGATCCCGCGCCAACGTCGCGTCGACAACCACCAGCCATCTATCATCCACAATCTCCGCGATCCTTGACCACGGCGCCTCGTCACAGAGCAGGTAATTCCCCTCGACGATGCACACCTGGACATCGGGCCCGACCACAAGGCCCTCCGCGACGGGGTCCTTGGTCGCATGATCAAACGAGGGCACAACCACCGCCTGACGCCCTGCCCCAGCTCGCAGACGGGCCACCATGGCCGCCGTGGCCGCGCCGTCAAACGTCCAGGGCGCGCCACGCCGCGCGAGCGCCTCGGTCGCGTTGGGGAGGGCGCGCAGCGTCGCGAGGGGCAGGTGGAAGCCGTCTGCCGAGACGCAGGCCACGCGGAGGGAGGGGGCGCGCTGCCGCAGCCGGAGGGCGACCTGCTCCGCGATGGTGGTCTTGCCGCTGCCGGGAGGGCCGGCCAGCGCGATGAGGAGGCGTGGGCGGCTTTGTTCTTGGTGTGCTTGTTGTTGGGACCACTTCGCCTGGATGCGGTCCACCAGCGCTTGGTATACGGGCTCCATGGTGTGGGGTGCTAGCACAAGCAGACGACCTCGACAGTCTGTCTGTCTATCTGCATCTGAGTGGCTCTCTATACGCCATATATCCTTCATACCCCGATCTCACCTACGAGGCAGACGGTGCGCCCAGTCCGATGCGATGCGGGGACGCAACGGCCTCCTGTCACCCCAGAGCTAAATAGGGGCTCTGCAGTATCTGTACAGACCAAGAGTTGGAGAATCATTGTCTCCCCGCGCGGGGTTATTAAGCTATGGAAAGAATCATTTGATTATCAGACACAGACAAGTCGACTGCTGGCTTCATCATTCTCATCCTCTCACCACATCATCCGCCACCATGAGCGAGAATGTACGTCAAGGCCACCCATCATCCAGAGACAAACACTGACATCCCAGAACCGCGCCTTTGTCCTCCACGCCGTCAAGAACGTGTCTCTCGAGGACCGCCCCGTCCCCGCGCTCCGCGACGAGCACGACGTCCGCGTCCACATTGAGCAGACGGGCATCTGCGGCAGCGACGTCCACTACTGGCAGCGCGGCCGCATCGGCGACTTTGTCCTCGAGAGCCCCATTGTCCTCGGCCACGAGAGCGCCGGCACCGTCACCGAGGTCGGCCGCCAGGTGCGCAACGTCCAGGTCGGCGACCGCGTCGCCATCGAGCCCGGCGTCCCCTGCCGTCGCTGCGACCACTGCCGCGCCGGCGCCTACAACTTGTGCGCCGACACCGTCTTCGCCGCTACGCCCCCCCACGACGGGACCCTGCAAAAGTACTACGTCGTCGCCTCGGACTACGTCTACCCTCTCCCCGCGCACATGTCCGCCGAGGACGGCGCCCTGGTCGAGCCCGTCGCCGTCGCCGTCCAGATCGCAAAGGTCGCGGACCTCAGGGCTGGCCAGACCGTCCTCGTCTTCGGTTGCGGACCCATTGGCGTCCTGTGCCAGGCCGTCGCCAAGGCAGCGGGGGCGGCACAGGTCATTGGCGTCGACATATCCGAGTCGCGCGCCCAGTTTGCGCGTGACTTTGCGGCCGACCACGTCTTTGTCAACAAGACCCGCACCCCCAAGGGTACCGACCCCGTCGACGCGGCGCGGGCGGTGGGCGAGGCGATTGTGGCCCAGTACGGCCTTGGTGAGGGTGCCGACGTCGTGCTAGAGTGCACGGGCGCCGAGCCGTGCATCCAGGCTGGCATCTTCGCCGCGAGGAAGGGCGGCATGTACGTCCAGGCGGGCATGGGGCGCGAGAACGTCGTGTTCCCCATTACCACGGCGTGTATCCGCGCGCTCACCGTCAAGGGCTCGATTCGGTACACGACGGGCTGTTACCCGCAGGCCGTTCAGCTGGTCGCGAGAGGAAAGGTCCAGCCCAGCAAGCTCATCACCCATCGGTTCAAGTTTGAGCAGGCGGAGGAGGCGTTTGAGCTGGTCAAGCAGGCGGGGGAGAACACTCTCAAGGTTGTGATTGAGGGTGTTCAGGGGTAGGGGCTGAATTATAATGGGAGGTATTATCAAGCATACTATATCTGTTATTGAGCATACCCGGTGGAGTCAAGTATAGTAAACATATAGCGTAGAGGTTCCTTACCCCGTAGCTCAATTTAATATAATCTAGTATTCATAAGCTGCGATTATTTATAGTCTCTTTATAACTACTTACCCCCGCTAGGTATGCTCAATAATAGATGCGGTATGCTTGACAATATCTCCCATTATAATAGAAAGATATTGCTTTACATGTCCCAGTTGCCAGTCTACGTGAGTGACACCATGTCGTATATGATCATAACCCGATGCGCGTAAAGCCAGCGTCAGTTGATGTGGACACTTTGCCCATTCAACTCGTAGGCATCTCCGTTAATCCTGTCGTCAGTCCGTCAGTGCCATCATGATCCGCGACTGGGTCCAGAGTCCACGCGGCGGTCGACTGTCGCCCTGTCGCCCACATAGTGCGGAGGCGCCTTCAACGACTCCGCATTGCAAGAGCCGGGAGGCAATCTGTAGTATATGAGCAAGACTGTCCTCAGAGGCTCAGAATGAGCAAACATCCCCAATAACTGCCCCTCCACTTCAGTCAATATGGTCCTCGCAGCTCACCCCAATCCAACCGCCCCCGTGCTATCACACTTCTCCCTCGAGGGCAAGACGGCTCTCGTCACGGGCGGATCGCGCGGTATCGGTCTCGAAGTCGTTCGTGGCCTCCTCGAAGCCGGCGCGTCCGTCGGGTTCACCTACTCCAGCACAACGCCGGACGAGATCGCCGCCCTGACCCAAGCCCTGTCGTCCGAGAATGGCGGCCGCCGAGGACTACCCCGAGGACAAGTTTCGCCAGATGATGGACGTCAACATGAACGGGGCCTTTTGGACGGCGCAGGCAGCGGCCCACGTCATGAAGGCGCGCAACAAAACGCGCGGCAGCATCATCTTCACGGCCAGCGTCAGCGGGATCCTCGTCAACGTCCCGCAGACGCAGGCAGCCTACAACGCGTCCAAGGCCGGGCTCATCCACCTGGCCAAGAGCCTGGCCGTCGAGTGGACCGACTTTGCGCGCGTCAACTGCGTGTCCCCGGTGGGTATCTGCTAAAACATGAAGAAAAGGATGCTGACTGACATGTAACTCGCCAGGGCTTCATCGCGACCGAGATGCTCGACGTGCATCCCAAGGCGTGGCGCGACAAGTGGTTCTCCATGATCCCCGGTGCGAGACTATGTCTGGCGCCCGAGCTCAAGGGGTCCTATGTCTACCTGGCGAGCGACGCGAGTAGCTACATGACGGGGGCGAACCTGGTCGTGGATGGGGGATACACGTTACCATGATATCAGATCGAAATTCACACAACGAGCACGAGGAGGGCCAGACCGTGTGCGAAATGCAACGCCAATCTCATTCAATCTCGCGTCCCAAACGCCATCCGGGAGGGGGGGGGGGGGGGGGTATAATTAATAACAAAAATGTTGGTTCCCAGCGCACGCTCTCGTCTTCTCCCGGTTCCCACGCTCCATGCAATGATGCTTGTTGTGTGTATGTGTATGTATGTGTATCGGCCGTGAGTCGTTCAAATGGGGCTCTGTAGTGCCCCAGTAATGCATATCGCCGGTCAGCTGCCATATTGGATGTGTCCTGTCTGTTCACAGGAACAGGTACAGGCCGAGCACGCCACTCCATAGGGCGGCTGCGTACGCATACATCCTGCCGACCAGTCCCGCGGCCGCGTCAGGCTTGTCCGTCTCCTCGGGGATGTAGTACTGCTCGCCGGACGCAAAGACCTGGGAGGCCGTCGTGATGGTCATGCCAAGCGAGTCAGCCGTCCTCGTGGGCTTGTCGGCCATGGTGAGGACACCCCACTCGACGCCGGTGCCCTCGAGCGTCGACGTCCACGACAGCTCCGTCGGTCCGGTCCAGGGTGCGTTCGAGTAGTCGGGCGCGAAGCTGGAGTAGCCGGAGCACGTCACCTCCGTCGTCTCGCTAAACTCGCATTCCACGTTGACGGTGCTAGGTCTTGGGTCAGCCCTGTCTGTCCTCCAGTACACACAGCGCCTTGCGGCCGGGTCCAAGACTCACTATGTCGAGGTGACGGTGCCGTGGAAACGGACCGTGCTCTCGCCGCAGACCACGATGAACGGAAAGTCCATGTCAATCTCGCAGGCGGGCGGCGTCTGCGTCGGGCAGAAGATGGTGTACGTCGTCTCGTTCAAGCGCTCGTTCTGCAGGGAGGGAGGTCCCGACGTTAGCCAACAGGGCTCCTCCATGGCCGCAGGCCGCAGGCCTCCATTTGGATCACCGTGTCCCGTCTAGTACGCACTTTTGAGATGATGCTCCCCCTCACGAGGTCCCAGTCGTCGGCATCGTAGTGAGGCAGGAAGATGGGCCCTGTCGTCGGTGTGGGCGTCTCTGCGGGCCCATTGTCGCTGTTGTCGTCTCCGCTGGCATCTCCAGCCGAGACTGGTCTGGCCAGGAAGACCAGAGCGAAGAGAATGAAGGAGAGCAGCTGGATATGTCGAGAGCGGTGGGACCCGCATGGACGGGTGGAGCGCATGGCAGGTGGTCGTCGTCGTCGTCGTCGCCGATACAGCCGAACACAGTTTGGTTCTACGTAGCTCGCGTCTGCTGTCTGTCGTGTGCGGGTGTACTTTGCATGTATAGGGAGCCGTGCGCTGGTCAAGACGACTGGAGTCTCAGCCTTCTTTCAGCCCCGGTGGAAGGCGTCAGTGGTGATGGCTGCAGTCGTGGGTTGTTGGTGCTGCTGGGGGACGACGGCGACGGCGGCAGGAGGACGCGAAAGGGAAGCAGACCTGCTGTTCATGGTCGAGAAGGGAGGATGAGAAGAGCTGATGAGATGGGGGAGGGTAAAGCAGAGAAATGTTTCCTGTGACCGCGAGGGTCGACGACGACGACGACGACGACGACGACGACGCCAAGTGCCAAGTGCCAAGTGCCAAGGCCAAGTGCCAAGGCCAAAGCCTCGGGGGGGTTCAGTGAGCTTCAGTCATTCTGTACGCTCTCACGGCACCGTGCCAAGACATTTGGCCCTTCCAGCCAAGCGCCTAGACATTTGATTCATTTCCGCCGTCTTTCTTTTATCCTCTGGAATTTCGCAGCAGCGCTCTGGCGAGAGCGGAAGGTAATAGTGAGAGAGAGCGTCGTTCATCGTGAACACGACCATGCTTGGCCTGCCTCCATTCATGTCTGAGGCGCGCAGATTGTCAATCCACATGCATCCACTGTGCTCAACTATCATCAAGCTGTCAGACTGTCTGTGTCGACAGTCGCTGGGTCATGCGGGCAGCCGCGCCGTGCCAAGCGGCGCACCGCGGCGTCCGTGAAATGTCCCGCCAAAATGTCTTCTTGGCGTGCGTCGGGCTTGGATGATGCCATTGCCCGTCTTCTCTTCTCTTCTCTTGCTTCTGACTCCTCCTGAGATGGCCAGGCCAAGACGTTTTGAATCCCTCCAGTCGTCATGCTTACCCTGCAGGGCCTGTCGCATCGTGATCTGCTGCCTAAGGTACTGTCGGGTGACCTGATATTCCCCCCTTTCCAGGTAATTACTATGTAAAATGGGAGCGTACAAGCCAAACGACGGCAAACTAGCAGCAAATTCTCAGGATTTCACTCTTGGCGGTTGTATAAGGCTCTGATTAATTAATTAATTATACTCCGCACAACAGGAACCTAACCAAAGACGCCTTCCTCCGTGTCCATTGAATGGCTGGCAACACACTGCGCAAACAACACGTCCACAAAGGTCGGCGAGTGACCAACAAGGGCTGCTCGCCGCCCTCCCAGCACACGCGTCTGCCCCGGCCGGATTGGTTTCAACTCGGTTCCCAACGTGATTCGTCTGCGGGACCTTGTCGCCGGGTTCCAGATAGTGTTGGTGCGCGACCGACCTGCGTGTTCGTACATCTCGTAGTCCACGTGCACTGCATCCATGTCCTCGGCCTCATCGTGGACTGTCACCTCCTGCGACACCAGTATGCCGCTGTACGGCTGTGGCGCGGCCTTGTCGTCGTTGTCGTCGTCAGCTCCCAAACTCATGCTTCGGCCGCGGCCGCCGGGAGTACACAGATCCGCCGTGGAATCCGTTTGAAGCGATCGGCAAGACGACAGTCGCCGATGCGATATTGTCGAAATGAGCTTGTCGTCGTCTACTACCTCCATAGGGGCGCCCTTTGCCCACGTTGGCTCCGGCAGCGTGCCTCGCAAGCGTGTTGACCAGCTACGCTGCTCTCTTTCTTCGCGTCTAGCCGCATCGTCTGGAAGATTCTTGACAAAGGGCCCCAATTCCCGGTGGACACCCTGCACAAACTCCAACCGTTGCTGCTGTGACAGTTGACGGACTTTGAATAAACTGAGGGGGGTGAGCTCGCAGCCGGGGCTGCTTATCGCCCTGTGCAGTGGAATCAGGAGTCGAAATGCCAAAAGCTTTCTGGTGGTCTCGATGCCGGCGTGGTCGAGGTGTGGCACGGGGAGGGGGCTTGCTGTCAGCACCGCATCGTCGAACAAGGGATCCTGGATGGTGCTGCGCAGCCGTTGTATGGCGCTGGCGAACTGGCTGGCAAATGCCTTTTCCCGCGGCGCCATGGTTTCCTCCGCTGCGGGAGTGGCCATGGCATGCAGGATGTAGGACACGGACATGCCGTCGAACCGCTTCAACACGTCCTGATGCCACGCCTCGAGCTTGGTCACGGGCAGACTCGCGGATGGAAGCAAATCCAGGGCCCCTTTCTGTGCGAGCAGGTAAAACCCAGACCTGTCGACGCTCGCCTTGACGCCAAAGAAGCCCAGACTGACAGCAGCGAGGGGGCACTCCTCCAAGTGCTGGACCGCGCATGTGGCCATTCTTCGCAACTTGGATTCAACATCTGGAGACTGTATCTGCATTCCAGACCGAATCAAGCCACTCACTTGACGCACGTCGGCGAATCGGTACCCTGCCGCGGCCAGGCGGTCAGCCTCGCGATCGCTTTCCACACGCCGGACCAAGAACATCAACAGACCGCGCCCATGTTCTTGTGGGCGCCCAAGTCCTCCCTTTTCCGCTAGATCAGTCGTATTGGCGGGCGAGTCTGGCTCACGTTCATTCTTGGCGCCTGTGGCGAGGATCTCATCCCACAACACTCTGGTGGACGGGAGCGGCTCCCCCAGCCGTTCTGCCAAGGTCAGTGCGGCCACGCAGAAGAGTTCGCGGAATATGACATTGTAATCGTCCATCAGCTCGCCGAGATGGTTGATGAGATGGATGCCCAGGCTGCCGTCGTTCTTCCCGCGACCCGAGTGCGGCAGCTGGCTCAGATGCAACTTCATGCCGCCTATCAGACTCGAGATGCTGGCCCAATTTCTCGACGCCTGGAACATCCAGAGGAACAGTGGATGCGACACGCTGAATCCACTCTTGCCATCCTGGGCGCGAAGTTTATTAGTTCATGGTTGGCATCAAAAGCCGGAATACGTCTCACCTTTTCGAGAAACGAATCCGTCACAACCATGCTGGGCATGAGGCCATTTGTGTCGACCAACACCCGCCCTTGCTTATCAAAGACAGCCGCAGCGAGGTTGATCTGTTGCGCTGTACGGGCCGACTTGCGCATACTCCTGGCTTTGAGAGTGACCAATCCAGCGACGATGAGACAGGCAGCGAGTCCCTGGTCGGAGCAGCAGATTAGCAATGACACAGACATGAACATGATGGAGCGAGGAGAAGAGAACCCACCAGGCAAATGACGACGATGACGATAGCATCGCGGTCGGTTGCCCCCTTGTTGAGAGAAATCAACCTATACTCGGTTCCAAGAGCCGCACACCAGTGCATCCCCGACACGGCGCTGGCGAGAATGACGGCCGAGAGGATGCGCTTCCACCATGCGTTGGCCCACATGGACCGGAAAACGAAGAACATGGTGAGAGCAATGGTGCTGGCGGCGACGGCAATGATGGCCGAGCCCGCCACGTTGACGCCGTTGTAGACGCAGTGGTAGTTGGCGATGGAGGCGTTGCCGAGATAATGCATGCCGCAGACCGCTCCGCCGCAGATGGTGCCCCCCACGGCAATCCTCCACCAGGCTATGTGATCGTTGGAGCCGACGGCCGTGAACGCGGCCAGGAGGACGAGGATCGGCACAAAGAAGGAGAGCACGGTGAAGCCGGGGGAGTACGAGACTTGCATCTCTGGCTCTCCGGACGCGAGTTCCATGGCCCGGTTGGCTACAAAGTGCTACGTACCACCGGCCGTCAGCAAGGGATCCGAGCGAGCAGGATGAGCGCCATGCGCGCGCGCCACGCACATACCATGGACCATATGGCGACGCCGCCCATCGTCACGGCCGAGCTTACGAGCAGGAGGCTGTCCCTTTGCGTTAGTGGCCCAAGGCACTTGACAAGAGAAACACGAGGAGAGAAGGGAAGAGAAAGAGGCCACGGACTTGTTGAACCATCCCCGGAATCCAGTACGACGGTTGATCAGCTCAAGCGTCGAGGCAGCCCCGACGAAGCTGACCAGGCAACTCAGCACGACGAAGCCGACGCTGTAGCTCTGCGGGACGATCTGCGCCTGGTACGGGGCGAGGTGGTCGTGTGTTGACATTGTCGAGGTCTCGGGGGTGCAACAACACGACGGGAAGTGGACTGGAGACATGAGATCTGGACGAGGCAACCACCAGTATATCACAATTTCCCAACTACATCTCCGACCCAACGATCAACCTCGGCCATTCAGCCCGCAACTCCTCTCTGGGTCACTTCTTGTCTCCTCCATGGCGGACATACTAGTCGATGGCGCAAGACTCTAACGTAGTCTAGACAAGACCCCAGAGTCGCTCAGCTGGGCCTTTATCTGCGCCAATGCCCGATCAGGAGCGTAGCCGGCAGCGCCATGACCCTCCTTTGTCTTGGCGATCGGGCTGGATCTGCTGGGAGTCTGGGACTGGCCAAACAGATCCTGCGCATGGGGATCCTGCAAGCCCAGCTATTCGGGCGACACTCCGCTATTGAGAACTGAAACTCCAACAGGTACTGTAGTGCTGCGAACATGAAGCCAGGCTACCAGTAGCGCTGTGCGTAGTTCGTCCCTTTTTGAGACCAAGACTGGGCTGGACTATTAGACCAAGCCTTACTTCACAAGCGGCGGGAGACTTTTCTTTCAATAACCACCCAGCACGCGTGCTACCAATTGAACACCACACGACAACCCAACAAGAAAGGTACTACCGGTACGTATATGGTTCCCTGCGGTTGCCACTGTTGTTGTCCGAAGAAGAAATCGATGAATCATGCAGCATGCTCGTGGTCCCTTGCAGCTAGATGTAGACGAGGGTGGGCTCCTAGTCTTTAGCGCTGCTCCATACTCGGTCGCGCGAAATAGCCTATAGGTGAGGTACTCCATAAGTAGCCATCCAAGCTTTTGAGTCTCCATGTCCTCCTTTGAAAAAAACTGCTCTTAATTAGCCTAAGATAGACAGTGTCGGGTTGGTGCCACACTTGTCGGTTGGTAACTCGAGTCTGACAGTTTGTAATATCCATGATTCGAACGTGCTCACCATCACCTAGGCCCCCATATCCGACAAGAGGATTCACCGCCAAGATCAATACTCTCCCCTTTCGATGCGTGGCGTTTGTGACGCTCTGCCGTGTCACCATGTGATGGCAGCGTTGGCAAAGTGCAATACGCCATGTTCCAAACTTTTGCTAGTGAATCATCGCTCAGGCCTACGATGCAGGGTGAATGGTGGTCTCGAATATGCACAAATAATTAGAACAAGCAAATCCTGCAGCTGAACCTGATTCTCAATGCAACCACTTCCATCCAAATTGCGCCAAGCTTGCTGACAGCCAAGACCATGATCCCTGCGTCACGGACTGGAAGAACAAAGGCTGCATGATTTCGACTCATCCATCCTTCCTGCTCTTCCATCTCGAACAACGCCCAAGGAACCAGGAATCCAACTTTTGTCGCTCACTCAACTGACTCCTTTTCTCACTATGGTTCGTGGATTCGCTATTCTCGGTCTCGCGACCCTTGTCGCCGCCCAGACAACAACCGTCGACATTATGCTCATGGGCAGCGACACCGAGGCCGTGCACGCGTCCGTCGTCGCCGTCGAGGACGCGCTGACGACATTCGCCATGGACTGCGACGACCAGAACAGCTGCGGCCTGGTCCCCAAGACCATCATCCAGGGCGACGGCACCTTTAGCGCCCAGCTCACCCTGTTGCCTGAAGACGGCTACGCCGGTACCATGTACGTTGTTGCTGCTGCCCTGACCATTCCCAGGGGATAGCGAAGAAGAAGAAAACGCTGACAGGAGGAAATCTAGAATCCAGGACTTTAGCTGCGACGAAGACCGAAAGGCAGACGTCCTCTCCTGCACCGTGATGCAGAACGGCGTGGCTGATGGCACGACCCTCTCCCAAAGCACGACGGCCACGCTGGAGGGACTCAGCGAGCTGTACCAGCCCGTGCCCGTCACGGGAGGCGTGGAGAAGCTGGGCACCGTCGAGGCGACGACTACCGCCACGAGCACCGCGACCAAGGAGACGACCATCACCGAGACGCCGTCCCAGACAAGCGGCGATGCGGAGGAGACACCCACGGAGACGGGTGATAGTGGAGATGACGACAACGCCGGTCTCCAGCTTGGACAGAGCACGCTCCTTGCTGGGCTGGCGGTCGTGGTCGGTGCGGCCGCCCTGCTGTAAATAGTATATAGTGATCGCCCATTGGTGTTTGGATACACGCTGCTCTTGTGCACTTTCAGTATTGCACTCTGTCCTCGCGGCCGTCGAGCCAGCTCGTGCAGTTGATACACCTCGATGCCTGAAGAATCAGCGACATATCCCAGAGTAAAAAAAAAAAAAAACGGCAGTCTCATAGTACCTTCTCGTTGATCCACTGCCGGCAGTACGTGCACTTCTTGGTGCGCTTGACGATGGGCTCCTCCGAGAGCAGCATGTACAGATGCGCCATGGAGTACAGCGCGAGGCCGATCATCATAAACGACACAATCTGGTAGATGAAGGAGCCGTACGCCATGACCACCGCGCCGTCCGCCTGCGCCTGCTTCAGCGTGTTGTACCCGGACGTGGTGTTGTAGCCGGGGCCCGGTCGCAGGACGGCAAACTTCTCCTCAATGTTGTGCTTGAGCGGCAGGATGATGGAGATGGGCGGCATGAGGATGTCGCCGACAAAGGACTTGACGAGGTCCGTGAAGACGGAGGCGAGGCTACTGCGGTTAGCATACCGGTCTTGTGGCTGCTGTGGATGGGACCGTACATCAATCCAAACGCAACCTGGAGCACATTGCCCTGGAACGCAAAGTCGACAAAGCCATCCCAGAGATGCTGCGCCTTGCGTCGACCACGACCGAGAAGAGACTCTGTCTCTGAGGATTCGGACTGGTACGGGCCTGACGCTGAGCCATGCGTCATGGAAGGGTCCGCGCGCAGGCGAAACATGTTCTTGAGCGTATCCATGGTGGATGGACGTGGGCGAGGAGCTGCTCACAGTAGTGAGGCCCTCAACATCTAATTAGGGAGACAGACTGCTGATAAGGGCGTGTGGATGCCAGCTGCGGTGAAGATCAACCCCCGCGGAGTGCTGAAGCCACTGACGCAAGCGGGGGAGATCCTGGCTCCTGGGCGCATATGCATGATCTGCGGTCGTCGCGATAGCCTTGCTAAATTCATCTTGGCTCAAAAATGAAAGATAGAAGTATTAGGTAGGCAAGGATTGTAATTCATAGTCTATCTCATCGCTAACGTGGGTGGTATCAAAAATAAGGTTCGCTCAAGTCCCAGTCAATAAATAACCCCCTTTCCACAAGTGGTTTTACAGTGGAAACATTAATGTTTCCAGGTATCATCAGATCATAGCTTCATTCCCTTGAACCCCAGACGGAATTCTATCCGCAGAAACAGACCACGCAGGCTGGTTTTTAGCCCCCTTACGAGTGGTAACCGCCCATCCCCTTCTCGGACCGGCGAAAGTGTCTGTTGGCCCGCCAGGCGACGCAGAACTTGCCGGCCCAGAAGATGACGCTCGTCAGCAGCACGCCGGCGGCGACCCAGCTGATAATGAGAAACTTGTTGCCGCGGTCGACCTCAATGTTAATCTCCTCGGCCACGTCGTTGATCTCGTCGACGCCCTTTGTCACGGCGACGGTGACGAGGATGCTCGCCACGAGCAGGGACAGCGCGCCGAGCGTGGCGATGACAAAGTTGGCCAGGTGGACGGTGCGCTTCTCGGGCAGGAAGAAAGCGGCGATGCAGCCAAGGATGGCGAGCCCGCTGAAGCCCATGCCCAGGACGTACAGGATGAAGAGGCCGAGGAGCGCGTCGTTGAGAATGTCCAGCTTGTCCTGGACCTCGGGCGTCCAGCCGAGGTCGTTGATGCTGACCTCGACGGGGCCCAGGGACATTTTCTTGTCGAGGATCTTGGACAGGTTGAAGCGCTGGCCGGGCTCCGAGTCGGTGCAGTTGGTTGAGTTGAGCGAGGGGTGGGCGTCGGTCGCGTTGGGCTTGTAGTAGCCCTGGCACGAGTCCATGACGTGGATCGAGTACCAGTCCGCAATGCCGAGTTCCTCCGTCACGCGGTCCACGCCGTCGCCGAGGAGGTCGTTGCCGTAGTCGATCACGTCGTCCTTCAAGTCAGAGATCTTGTCGCCCACGCTGTCGAAGAAACCGTCATCACCGTCGTCCTTCTCCTCAGCTTTGTCGTCGCTAGTGGAGAGGAGCTCCTGTCCCATCATGGACACATTGAGCTACGGGGGTCAGTCAGTATGCGCTCTGGGAGAAGCGTCAATGTCAGCGGCTGGACTTACACGTGCGATAGCGTAGTCTTCCATGAAGCCCTGCTTGTGGCCCGCGAAAAGAGACAGGGCGGATAGCACCATGCCCACGATGGACAGGACCAGCGGGATGAGCACAAGGAGCCGCGTGAGCAGAGCCATTGTCGCGAGTGTGTCGTTGCGGTCTTGTACGATGGGGACGAATTCAGGTCTGACAGACTCGTCACTTGAGCAGGCGCTGTGAATCACTTAATAACAAATTAATAAACGCAGCAAACGCATACGCAGTCGAGATAAGGGCCTCCCTCCCTTCCAAGACACGGCGCGAGGGTTGTGCCACCGTCTAAATACCTGAGCTGAGATATCTGGTCTGCTATAGGGGGGCATGCCAACTGACGACACCGGTGGGCCATCGCGTCCCAGCCCAGAGACAGCATAAAAGATGTCGCTTGGCCCATGACGCCACGTTCCGCAGCGCCAAAGACTGTTTGTGGGCAGGCCAGCGACAAAGAAGGAAATGCGACCCCTTGTCCGGCCAGGCGCCACCTCAAGAAAAGAGAAGCGCGTCCAGGGTGTCGAGTGGACGGGAAGAGTTCCTGGCATCCTGTTGGGCGGGTGCTGGCGTTGAACAGGCTCAGGCTCCAGTCGTTGGCTGGCGCTCGCGCCTGGCGTTGCGTCATCCGGTTGACTGCCGACGGGACGAGCCAGGGCCTGCTGGGCAGTGGGGCCTCCATGAGTCCATGAGACCATGACTGACCGCAGCCAGCTCTCATTTGATGCTTCAACTTGCAACTTTTACCATTGGACTTTAATCTGGATGGTTGGTGGGTTTCGTAAGCAGTTCAGTAGATGGGGTGCTGCCACTTCATTGCTGCGTATCAGGCAATTGCCAGAGGCAAGCAGTGGGTTTGGAGTATGGACTCTGGTCTCGGGACTCTGGATTCTGACTGATTCCCACAGATGACCAGCCACCAGGCTGTTGGCGCAACGACAGAAGTAGATAGCCAGGCCTCAGGCTTCAGTCTCGATGACGGCGACAGGCCAGAAACGACCGTCTAGCCATCGTTCCGAGATACATGTACGAGGTCGAATGTCACCAGCCACCCACATCCGCATCTCACCTTGCGAGAATATCTCATTCACAGGTTTGCCGTCTCTCGCTAGACATTGTACGGAGTACAGTGGGTGAACATGAGATATTGCGCCTGCGACGTAGCGAGATAGAGAACTTACCCTACAGCCACCTGGGTGTCTGGCTCATCGTCCTCAATGATCTGGAGACATATGTAGGCAACATTGTGCGATCCTGCCGATATAATGTCAAATTTCCACAATATCGAAGGCGCTCACAAAGTCCTCATTAATAATGGCCAGGCCAACCAGGGAAACAACGCGTGGATCAATCGATTTTGGCGGCGGCTACACCCGAGGCTGGGTTGACGAGTGCGGGTACCGTGGATGGGGACTGTAAGGAATGATCAATCTTCAAGGGTTTATCTTTCAGTCGGAATGAAGCATGAAGGGAGGGCCACGTACAATGGACTGGAAAAAGACATGCGATAATTAGAGAAAGACTCAGATGAGAGATAGTTGAAATCTTTCACAGGTGTCAGGCGACGGTAGGCTTTTAGCCCACTACGTAGCCTAGCGCTAGCGCTGTTAGGGCTGGCCGCTAGTCCGGTACTAGCGGTAGCGGCGTCTGGGGAGACTGGAGGCTGGAGGCGGCGGTCAGCCACTCCAGTTAGCCATCAACCAACAGCCTCTTCATGCTCGAGCTTTCATTTATATTATCATCTCTTAATAACTTGACATGGCCCAGCCTACAATATGGCAGTGACTGCAGTGGCTAGTACAAGTATGTCGCCAATACACCTCTCCCGCCTGGCCTCAATGGATCGCGCAGGCAAGATGGGAGACTGAAGTCTCGTCGTTCACTTCCTCCCCCTCTCAAGCCCAACCTACGCGCCCGTCTCCTGCGATCAGCGCTTCTCCTCCCTCGACTCGCCGGTGGTTGAGGAGATGAACACCTCCTCCTACTGCCTCTAGGACCATCTGCTCCGGCGCGCGCCATGACAGCCGTCGACAACTGCCCTCTACGGACAACGTCTCGCTCGAACAAAGCGGTGTATGCTTGGCGCACGCATCACTTGATCGCGGTCAGTCCCCCCAGCGCCACCATCTACAGGTCCCACGGGCTTCGATAGCCATAGTCGCTGAGCCTTCAATGACGTCGCCTGACTCGATCCGTGCCTCTGGCGCGCTGGTGGCTCATCATGCTGCCCACCCACGTGAAGCCACACTCGTGGCTTGACTCACTCTGAGAGTCACAATTCGACGCACACTGTCCCAGACGATCCCCCGCCTCTGTACATCACCCTGGGGGGACAGTGGGATTTCGAGGCGGCTTTTGCCAAAATCGATCCCTGAAGACCCTTTTGCGTCGTCTTTTTGTCATGCCCACCGGATTGGTATCCTGAGCGCATCAGATCGCCGAGGCTACGTACTGATACCCCCTAGTTACTGGGCTGATCATCTCGCCTCGACTCGACAGTAGCAAGGCACAACAAAGTCACTCCTTCACACAATGGCCGCCGTCTAGTTAGCGAACCTCCTTTCTATTCTCCCTCACTACCCTCCTCCTTCACTACCATTACATCCTCTAGTCCCTCCTCAAGCGCTGGCTTGGCATCGATATGCTCCACTGCGGCTCGCGATAAGGCTCTTCACGTCATCCATCATCCACCCACTGCCTGCGACGACTCGACGCAATTGATAGAGACATCCCAGACACATCCCGCCCACCAGAGGCATGGCTTCGCTTGAGGCGAAAATCGTCGTGCTCGGCGCCCAGGGCGTCGGCAAGACGTCCCTCGTCACGCGATATTGCAAGGGGGCCTGGAATCCCGCGACCACAACGTCGACAGTCGGCGCCAGCTTCCTCACCAAGCGCGTCGTCGACAGCGACTCGGACACCACTGTCCGTCTGCAAATATGGGATACAGGTACTTTCCTATCAACTGCTGAAGAATGCGTCCGATCACTAACACACAGACCAGCCGGGCAGGAACGCTTCCGCAGCATTTCCCGCCTCTACTACCGCGGCGCCAACGCCTGCATCCTCTGCTACTCCATCACCGACGCCCAGTCCTTTGTCGAGATGGGCATCTGGCTCACCGAACTCCGGCGAAACCTCCCGCGCGACGTCGTCCTCCACGTCGTCGGCACAAAGGCCGACATTGTCGCCAAAGACCCCAGTGCGCGCCAGGTCCCCTTTGAGCGATGCATCGCCTACGTGGCCGAGCATCTGGCGCCAGGCCAGGGCGGGACGCCGCCGCCCACCGCGAACGCGACGCCATTGTACGGGCCGGGCGGTCTCATGAGCACAAGCCCCGGGGGTGCGCTCGCCGCTAGTAGCGTTGACCCGCACAGTCCAGGTTCGAAGCGCAGCTCAGGGTTCTGGGGCCAGGAGGTCGGCTGGGACGCTTGTCACGAGATCTCGGCGGAGAGCGGCGAGGGCGTGGAAGAGGTCTTTCGGGTCGTCACGCGGAAACTGGTGGACCAGAATCGGAGATTGCAGCAGGCTCTGCTCATGGCCACGGCTACACCGCAGGGCCTCCTCACGCCTGGGATACCGGATGGCGGACCGCCGCCGGATGGGTACTTTGAGGGCGCCAGTGCCCGAGGCAGTTTCCGCGTGGGCAGGGATAGGCGATCCTGGCTCTTCTCGCCGGCCTTCTCGCCCGCCGTCACGGTCGAGCAGGCTGCCCAACCGCAGGAGGACTATGCGGAGCGCAAGGGGAAGAACAAGTGCTGTTGATTGCATTCTCGAGGCGTTGTGGGCGAAGGCATTCGGTGTGCATCAAGGACATGGGAGGAGGGATCTGGGTTTCCACGGAGCCAGGCGTTTATCATATGGTTCTGGAGTTTAGAGAAGTGCCAAACTGATTGACTACACACATATTTTCTCTCTCAAGGCTGCGCCGTGCCAGCAGCCACGTCCTCCAACTTCTTGTCCAGGTCGTCCTGCACCACGGGGACAGCGGGGATCTCCACGCCCTCTACACGTTTCTCCAGCTCAATGTACCCGTCGCTCACCACCAGGACATCCACCTTTCTGTCCTGCGTCGATTCAGGCAACTTGATATTCGCCCGGGCCGACGGCCTGCTCCCCGGTGCCAGCTTCCGCGCCGCCGAGCCGCCGCCCGGCGGCCCAGAGTACCAGCCCACTCTCTTGACGGCAAAGACCTCGTCACGCGCCACGTCGGCGACGATGACAAAGAAGCCTTCTGTCTGCGACTTTGGGAAGTTGGGGGCGTACATCTTCGCGTCGCGCTCGACCAGCGGGTTCTGACGGCGTAGTTGGACGGTCAAGCCCGTGGCGGTGGGCTTGTCGATGCTGACGGTGACATTGGGGAGGATGGACAGGGCGCGCGCGAAGCGACTGTTCTGCGAGGCCGGGACGCCCAGCGACTTGGCAAGCGCAGTGACCTTGCCCGCAGGGAGTTGAACGAGATCCTGTAGAGTAGACTTGTCCTTGGTCGTCTCGGGCATGACACCTGGCAGGATCGTGACGGCAGGATCAGTCGGCCAGCGGGCTGACTTGATGCACTGCAGCAGGCTGATCATCCGCAGGCAACTGGAGAGGTACCCCAGCTCGGTGAGCACGTCGATGGAGGCCTGGATGATACGGATGGCCTGGTCGAGCACGCTGGTCTGATCGCCGACATAGTCGGTGATGGGCAGCTCGATGCGCGACATGTGCGCCTGCAGGAGCAGGAACGCCTTCACATGGGGGTCCCACATGGGCAAGTTGAACGCGGATCCCGCAAAGGGCAGGTTCTGCGACAGCGTCTCGTTGACGAGATCCTCATTGTGGCGGACGGGCAGCTCGTCGTACTCGACGGCGCGGGCCATCCAGGACATGACGTCCAGGAAGGAGCCGCGGGGCTTGGCGTGCGCGACGAGCGTGCGGATGGTCTTGTGCGAGAGGTAGTAGTAACTCATGATCTTGCCCAGGGGCGTGGGGTCGACGTCGCCGTTGGGGTAGACCTCGACGCACTTGGACTCGGCCAGCTCCTGGAGCGAGTTGCTGACCATGTCGATCATGTACTCATTGGCAAGCTCCTGGGCGACGATGGAGCTGTGGTCCTCGGCCGAGATCTCGAGGCCGTAGTACGACGGGTTCTTGTGCAGGCGGCGGAAGAAAAAGGTCCACGTCAGGTAGTCGAGCGCATCCTGCTTGGTGATGATCGTCTCGGCCGACACTTCGGCACACAAATGGTTGTCCAGGACCGTGTGGAGCGATGACTCGACCGGGAACCCGGTGTGGAGGAAGTGCTTGTAAAAGTCCTTTTTGGAGTCTTGCGTGAAGATGCGCGCCACACCAGAGGTATCGAACTGTGGACGTCCGGCGCGACCCAGCATTTGGAGCACATCTGTCAGATCCATGTCTCGGTAGCCTTCGATTTTGGCGTCGTAGAACTGGGTGCCCTTGACCACAACGAGATGGGCTGGCAGATTGACGCCCCAAGCGAGAGTACTGGTAGCGATCAGGATCTGGATCTTGTTGTTCAGGAAGAGCTCCTCGGAAAGCTGACGGTCAGACTCGACGAGACCGGCGTGATGAAGTCCGATACCAAAGTTAATGGCCTCCTTCAACGCATCGTCCTTGACACGCGCCAGGTTCAGCTGCAGATCATCCTCGTCCATATGCAGGAAGCGACGCGGGTTGTCCTCCATGCCGCAGAAGTTGATGAGGTCCTTGGCGGTGAGACGTGTCTGTCGACGAGAGGGCACAAAGACGATAACCGGCTTGCTCGGGCTGTGATTCTTCACGGCCAGGAATGTTGGGCGGTTCATCGACTGCATGAGCGGGCAGAAGCCACGTACCTCGGGGAACCCGTCAATGTACGACTCCAGAGGCACGGGGCGCACAGAGTGCCTAAAGTTGAAGAGACCCTCCTTCACGCCAAGCCAGTTGCCCAGGTCGCTTGCGTTGGCGCAAGCAGTGGACATACCCAGGAGTCGCACGGAGCCCTTTGTCATCGACGCGATGTAGTTCATGCGCGACACAATGATCTCCAAGATAGGACCACGGTCTCCGGCCAGTAAGTGGATTTCGTCAATGATGACCAGACTCACTTGCCGCACATACCCTCTTGTCTGCCAAGAGCGAGAAATACCATCCCATTTCTCAGGGGTCGTGATAATGATGTCCGCGTCCTTAATCGTCCTGGTGTCGGGCGTGTTGTCACCAGTCAACTCAACGAGCTTCAAGCCCAGCGGACGCGCCAGGCGAACACCCCAGTCCTTGACACGCTCGCGGACAAGGGCTTTCATGGGGGCAATGTAGACCACCTTGGACTTTGGCCGTTCACGGAACGCCCACCACATGGCCAGCTCAGCGGCAACCGTTTTGCCAGACCCCGTCGGCGATCCGAGAAGGACATTGGCCGGCGTGTTGTACAGGGTGTGGAAGATCTGCGTCTGCATGGGGTTGAAGTACTGGAAGCGCTGCCCGTAGATCTCCTCAAGACCAGGATTCCTCAGCGCCTTGATGGAGAGCGGCTGCAAGTCGAGCAGGTCGGTGTACACGCTCTCGGTGTCGGGGCGGATCAGGTGCTGGAACGACACAGGCGTGACCGTCTCGGCACCAAGCCATCTGTCGGACACGGCGCGGACGTAGATCTGCTTGGGCAGGGGGTCGGAGAGCGGGATGGTAAAGTTGAGCTCGTGGTCGTCGTGCAGCTTCCTGCGGCTGAGGATAAAGAACTCGTGGTGGTATATCTCAGAGGTCTCCGAGTTCTCCACCCAGATGTAGTACGACTCGGAGGTGCCATGGTAGAAATCCTTCCAGGTGAAGTCGGGAATGACCCAGAGCTTGATGCGCAATACATCCCGATTGAGTGGCGCAATCTCAGCCTCCACGTGAACCGTAGGGAAGTGATTGAGGATCCTGGCAATGTTCTTTCCAGCGGTCTGGTTGTGCACGAGACTGCTGATCTCGGCACTGTCAAGCTCTTTCATGTACTCGACGGTCAGGTTGTCTTTGGCCTCGAGCTGGCTGAGCACAGGCTTCGTGAGGTCAAACTGGTTGAGGGGATGTTGAAACGGCCAAATCCTCTTCTCAATGGACTTGGCCAATGTCAACAGAACCAGACACTGGTGTCCCCAGCGCCGGTTCAGAGCCAGCATGAAGAGCGCGCGGCAGATGCGGCCGGACTGCTGTGCGACATAGTTCATGTCGTTCATCAGCGCAAAGTCCTCGGGCTGCGTACGCGAAATGTATGACTGCAACAATATGTTCGTCTTAGCCTGGGGCGTGTCAATGCCTTGGGCCACCTCGCAAGGGACCACATTATGTCGGAGATGCGTCAGTTCCTTGGCCTCGCTGTCCCTTGACTGGATGTTGTCAAACTCTCCGCTCATGCTGATCATCTTGAGAACGTCGGCCTCTGTCCCCTGAGCGGTCATCATGGAGTTGAAGACTTGGATACTCGTGTGCAGGATGTAGTACTGGCTCGCGATGCGGCCAATGTCCTTACTGCGCAACTCCTCGGTGTTCTCGTTAAAAACAATCATCTGGCATTGCTGCAGTGTGCGCGCTGCCTGGATAGCCAAGGTACGACGCCTCATCACCAGGCTTGGGTCGTCCCTGATCTCAGCCCACTCGATACCGTACGTCAGGGGGCTCTTCTTCATGCGCACAAATAGGTACGAGTAGCCTATCCATGTGACGGCATCCTGGATTGAAGTGACGGTTCCCAGGGAGATCTCAGCGTTCAAATTGTCCACGAGCTTGGTCGAGAACTTGGATTCAATGGGCTGCTGCTCGGTGACAGCCGTCAAGTAGTGCGTCAAGCGGTCCTGCGTGGTGCAGATCATGCCAATACCGGTATCCTCAAACTGCGGCCTACCAGCACGGCCAAAGATCTGGAGCACGTCAAGGATGCCCAAGTCGACAAACTTGCCGTCTTGCGCACTGTACACCTGGGTGCCTTTGATGACGACCGCAGCAGCTGGCAGGTTGACTCCCCACGCAAGAGTAGCCGTGCAGCAGAGAACCTTGGTCACACCCTCGGAGAACAGGCGCTCCATGAGATTCCTGTCGGCTCGCGCCATACCGGCGTGGTGGATGCCGAGGCCCTTTTGCAGCAGCTCGCGGATCTCTTTCGATCGAGATGACTTCATGTCACGAGCCGCCTGGTCATAGGACGGATGCCCCATGGGGTCAAGCAGATCAGTGCACATTTGTTCCATGGCTTTCGCGTGGATCATCTTGGCTGTGAGCATCGTGTCTCTGCGTGAATGGACAAACACCATGACTTGATGGCCCCTTTCCAACATCTGTTTGACTTTGTCAAAAGCGACAGTGTCGAGGTTGTCCTTGGACTGCTTGGTTCCTGCTTTGCCTTTGACGCCAATGAAATGCTGCTCCAGGGGCACAGGACGGAAAGACGAGTCAAAGTAGAAGAGGCCAGCCATTTTGTTGACCTTGAGAAAGTCGGCAACGTCCACATAATTCGGCAGGGTGGCACTGAGACCAACAATGCGGATCAGAGACTGCGTGCTTTCAACCTGTCGCTCGGTACGTGCCACTAAAGACTCGAGAACAGCGCCGCGCTCATCGTGAAGCATATGCACCTCATCAATAATGAGGAGCCTGACCTTTTGGACAAGCTCAGTGTCGCCTGTCCCTTTTCTTGTGACGACATCCCACTTCTCAGGGGTGGTCACGATGATCTGCGTCTGCACGATTTCGGACTTGGTGAGCTGCATGTCACCAGTGTATTCGCGACACTTGATGCCCAGCCAGGCCAGGCGCTTGCCTAGCTTCTCCGTGATTTCGGCTGCCAGCGCCTTCATGGGCGCGACGTAGACAATCTTAAAGTTGTCGGCGTCGACGCCAAACTCCATTGCGGACGGGTTCTCGATGGGGTTGGGTGTCACATGCCGGCTAATGGTGTGCAGGATTGTCAGCATGGCAGCGTCGGTTTTACCAGCACCTGTGGGTGCACAGATGAGCATATTCTCGCTCGTCTTGTAGGCCACAGGATACACCAGGCTCTGCATGCGGTTGAGGGCCTTGTATCCCTTGAATGTGGTGCGGCACAGCCCGTCAAGTTCTGAGATATTCACAAGCCGCTGGCCAGGGCCAAGCTCGCCCTTTTTCCCAGCAGGGATGGCGTACTCCTCATACTTGTCGAATTGAAGCCTCTCGCTGCCGGGCGGCAAGCCATACTTCTTGCCGGCGTAGTTGAGAGTGTTTCCCGCGTTGTAGGCTTTGTACACATGCGGATACTGGACTTCGCGCGTCTGAGAAGGGGCAAGTGTAGCGGACTTGTGCTCAAGATCTTGACGCCGGAGAGCTTCCTCTCGCTGGGCTCTGCTAAGCAATCTACCCGAGGGCTGCTGGCGTTCGCCGTAGTGGTTTTGATCCGCCAGTGCCGCCGTGATGCTGTCCTTTTTGCTGAGGATCTCAATGATGAAATCGAGATCGTCGAATCCCATCAGGTCAGTCAGGTGCATTTGTAGCTCCTCCTCAGACTGGCCCGAGGAAAGCATACTAGCCACCTGGCTCTCGAATACATCCGCGGGCATGCCATTCTTGGCTGCGATCTCTGAGCAACGCGTGACGAACCATTCGGCCCCTGCGTTGGCGCCACTGTGACTGTCAATGTCTTCTTCGTAGGCATAGTCGCTGCTGTCAGGGTCTTCGTCGTCGTCGCTGATAAAGTCCCAGACGTCTTGCCCACTTGTACCCGACGAGTAACCCTCAAAGTCAGTTTCGTCAATATCTCCGTTGATCACGGGCTGCTTGCCCTTGGACGACTCAAGTTTAAGGTCGGCGAGCGCAGCGCGCATGGCAGCATATTGCTCCCGCCATTGCGCTTCTGCAGCGCTGAGATTGCTGGAAGCCATGGTGTAGAATTTCGAGCCCAAAGTATCCTGGTTCTTCGGTTGTTGAGCAAGGAGAGCGTGCACTATGTGGCTGTAAAATTATCAATCACCAGCACCTCAAAGTCAAGGAGTCATACCGACTCGGAGTGGAGTGAAGCTGCCAGTGTCGAGAGTTGTGGAACCATCCTCTATCCCCGGGTAGGCAGACCCTAAAGGCATCAACGGGCGCTAAACAATGCCGATAACCATGTGATGCGGGCGGGTGACGTCCAAGGCGGTGGCCAACCTCGTACGCTGTGCCGATGCATCATTCCTCATTCACAACCAATTCCACCATCCTCTCCTTGACAATCGTGGTGGAGATTGGCGCCAGATCAGCAGTTCACCCCTGATTATCCCACGCAGTGCTCGCAACCGGCATCATGAAGCTCCTCTACATTGGTGTACGTCGACCCCCCGCGCCCCTCCCATGATACCACCGACCGGGCGGTCTGACACGATAACTCCGGACAGATCATCCGCAACGACTCGAAGCCGGCGCACGAGATTGTCGCTGAGAAGGAGCTCAGCGCGTACTCGCGCTTCACGCGCAACAAGTTCGTGCCCCGTGCCATCCGCCCCCATCCAGCGAGGCGCTGACCAGCATAGTTATGGCGAGTTCATGTCACTCTTCTCCAAGACCGTTGCCGAGAGGACGAGGCCCGGCCAGCGTCAGGATGTCGAAGAGCAGGGTACGCCGGCCATGATCCCCAGAGAAAATCCGAACCATCGAGACTGACGAAACAAACCAAAAAAAAGACTACACATTCCACGCCTATGGTCGCAGCGAGGGCGTCTGCGGCATCATCATCTCCGACCAGCAATACCCCGCCCTCGTCGCCCATCAGCTCCTCTCCAAGGTCGTCGACGAGTTCCTCACCAAGAACCCCCGCTCGGCCTGGGCCACGGGGACGCCCTCCATCGCCATGCCCGAGCTGCGCGAGTACCTCAGCAAGTACCAGGATCCCCAGCAGGCCGACAGCATCCTCAAAATCCAGAAGGAGCTCGACGAGACCAAGATTGTGCTGCACAAGACCATTGAGAGCGTGCTGCAGCGTGGCGAGAAGATTGACGACCTGGTCGCCAAGAGTGACGGACTGAGCTCGCAGAGCAAGATGTTCTACCAGCAGGCCAAGAAGCAGAACTCATGCTGCGTCTTGATGTGAACGGCTGGCTGGGAGCGTTGGCGCGTTTGCCTGGGCGATGTCTTTGGAACATGATTAATTAGCATATACTGGGATGCGCCACTCTTCACGCTGGAAAGACCAAGTCCCTGAGGGTGGTACAACCATCAATGAACATAATGAAGGCACACACGATTCATCACGGCAGGCAAGATGTGGAGGTGACATGTTTGTTTTTCGTTCCGTTATTGATTCAACACGAACGCCTTGTGCGCCTCGCCACGCGTCATGGTATCCTAACTAATCCTGAAATAGCAAAAAATGCAGAGAGAACGCCGCCCATGCTCTCTTCACCCCGAGCCAGCGAGATGGTGTGCCTTTTTGAGAGGCGTTGGGTAACCGAAACCCAATACGAGAAAGGAAAGGAAAATGAAAGACTATTAAGGTGTCACGCGCACCTGCATCTCTAGCCACGGCTAGACTCTGAGAGTCTACAGACCCTCGACGACCACGCGCTCACTGCGACGGTGCGTATGGAACGACCTGGGTGTGTTCTCGTCGCCAGGATGCACGACCCTCGGTGTAAGCTTCCTAGTCTCGCTCAGTCGCTCATTGCCGTCAGACACGACCACGGGCCCAAAACCGACAGGCACTGAACCCTGTTGCCCCCTGGGAGTCCTCCCCCTGATGGACCCCAGCATCGATCTCTGTTCCCTCGACACGCTGATCTGCCTGGTGATGGAGGCCTGCACAGCCTCTCGCAGGGCCTTTTCGGCCTCGGCGTCCTGGTCTGTGACGGTCACGGTGGGTTTCACCACGGCGATCTGCTCGGACGAAACGACGGAGGATAGCGAGTTCTTCTTGGGAGTATCGCTATCGTGGGAAGAGGGGGGCGGGGAGATCATTTCCCATGCCGGGTCGTTAGCGCTGGGTTGATACGTGGCACTCAGCACGGCTTCTGCGGACTCTTCGATACTGGTGGGCGAGTCAAACACAGGAGTGGATGCCGATGTCGTGGTGTTGGTTGTTGTGATGGGCGTTAGCTGCCGTGTAAAGCGAGAGGCGAGCTGGGGCCTCCGATGCACCGGGCTGTCGGTGTTGGGCAACCTGTCCATCGAATGATTCTCGTGGGCAGTCCGGGGGAGCGTTTGCGCCCTCAAGGCTGGAGCCATAGGAGGAGTCATACCGGCGAGTCCATTGTTATATCCTGCGGACGGCAGACCAGGTGAAGGGAGACCCGCTGGGGATGTGTTGGAACGAGACCGAGGCGATTGCGCCTGCGCAGAGCTTGACCGCCTTGATGATGGTGGAAACAAATGAAAGGTAGGCGACTCCTTGACTAGTGTCACCGGAGCCCTGCTGGGTGGTGGCTGGAGCGGACTCAACTCTGCGGCTTTCGCTTCACCAGCAACGGGCGCCAGCTTGTCCAGCGTGGCCTGCCGCCTCGCCAGCAAGGAGGATGAGGATGTCAAAAGGTCGCGAGACTGTCGTCTTTTGTTCATCAGAACCTGGCCAAACATGACACTATATCGCTCCAACGTGATATCGGGTATCTCAACGTCGAGCATGGGGCCACTCCTCGAAGTTGGCAATTGGGGGCCTGCGGCGGGCACAGGCCGCTCGTCGTACGCAGACGGAGACGGAGCTGGAGCTGGCGTTGTCTGGGCATGTCTGGGTGGCGGCCTGGGACTCTGGCGGGATGCTTGCGCAGGCTGAGGAGGCTGAGGTCGTCTACTGCTCGCCATCACTGGTGCGGTCTGTGATCGGACAACTTGAGGGGCTGACCTGGACGGAGGTGCATCGACGGTGTCACTTCGCAAGGCACTGGGTCTCGCCGTTGCTGGCGACCTGACCGAGGTCTGCGGTGGTGAAGCGTTGTCCTTCTTCTTGGCGGACTTGGATTTGCTGCGGAAGAGAGCCCATTTGCGACTCTTCTTGGGCGTCGCCTCCTCCTCGGGTATCGCTGCCGCAGGTCGGGTTCCAGTCGGTGTCCTTTCAGTGGCACTCTTATCCGGTCTGGGTATCCAGCCTGCGTCTGGGGGTGGATGGGACGGGCTCCCCAACGCCATGCCGATGGCAATGGCGCCCGCGTCGCCGATACCTCGCGAGTCCGCAATTGGGGTAGTCGATCCTTGGGATGAGAAGCTGCTCTGCGCGAAGCCGGGTGCTTGTGGTGACGGCACCTGTGCCTGCGGCGGTCCGCCCCGAATGGGCACGTGGAACGACTTGTATCGTTGCTGCTGCTGCTGTCGATGATGGTGTTCCTGAAGGCGATACTGCTGCTGTGTCTGCTCCCGCTTCTCCGTTGTCATGAGTCCGACGAGGAGGTCGTCTCTTGACCGACGCTTGTCGTAGTCGTTGTGTCTGGAGGAAGGTTGGCTGAATCCGGGCCCGGAACTGCTGCTGGGGCGTTCGTCCAGCGTTGCCCTCGCGCGCTTGGGATGATGCGGAGGTGAAGGAGCGGACGGCATGGTGCCAACTGCGATAGCAAGTTAAAGCGAACGAAGGAGAAGTGAATTTGGATCAAAGGAGTGGACGAGCATTGAACGCTACACGAAAGGAGAGACGGGAACCAAACAGAGGACCACAAATGTTACAGAGGAAGCATGAAGCATGAAGAAGACAGAGGAACAGCGAGGATGGATATTGGTCGCTCGTCGCACCGAGACAAACCAGAGAACATGAACCCTGCCCGTAAACACTCGCCCGCCAGGGTCAGGCCGAGGGAGTTGAATTGTGCCGTCAAACGACCGTCCCGGTTCCTGATGAATCCATCGACGGCAGCTGTTCCACCAGCGCGAGCGTGCGCTGTACGTACTCCGTATGCGCGTGTAAGTTTGGAGGGGAATGCGGTCTGGTCTGAGGGGCAGTCCGAGATAGTATGTCGTGCGGTTACGAAACAGGGGTTGCCGTGCATCAGAAACGTCTTTAGGCCGGGGCACGCGTTTCATCTTAGAATGAAGGACTAGGCACGACCACTTTGGCTGCCAGCATCTTATGCCCGTCACAGGGCTCGACTTGTCTTCAACGAGTCAAGAAGCCCACTAAATTGATTGCTCGCCCAGACATTTGTTGCTTCTTTCTACTGGACGGAGATCTCGAGCAGGAGCCGGAGCCGGATCGCCCAAGCGCCTGTCCGACGCTGCGCTGCCGTGAAACATAGCGCAACGGCCTCTTCATTAGGCTACGCTGCAAGACATTTCGACCTCTGCTTCACAGGGTCTAGTCTAGATCGCTGGCGCCAGAAGCCGTTGGCGCGTTGGAAGCACGCGACTGATCCTGTCGCCAGCATGAGGTCTCCATATTAGTTTCGCTCCTTCAACTTCTTCAAGGTCTGGTCTTTTTGGATAAATTTCCGCCGTGCATGACAGATTGCAAGGAGGGCATGCAATAGGATCGAGCGCCAGCCCTGGGGTACATTAGAAGACGGCTGAGAGCCTGAGTTGTTGCGTGGACAGGAAGCGATTCTTACTTTAAAGATGCTCCCGGTCAAGGCCCGAGCCGAAGGCCCTTTGCGCGCGAAACAGCGCGGCACTTTTATGTGTGCGTAAAACCCGCGTATGCGTTCACCTATAGCTAAATTGAGGGCGGTTATACGGACTGTTCATTTGTACGGTCGTCAATGATACTACGTATAAAACAGCTATTCATTATCTCAGTTCAAATAAACGGTTGACAATACGTATCGTGACAGAAACATCAAGCGTTGGCGGGGACCTAATAATTAATTACAGCGCTCTTTTGCACCGCAAACTGCTGGCGGTGACACAATTTGCCAAAAGCTACTGGAGCTCATGTCATCATGTCCCGCGACTGCTGAATGAGGGGCACCGCCCGCCGTCAGTGGACATGATCCAGTCCAGGACTCCAGATCAGCAACAAGCTCCAGTCCGAGTCCACCCCATCCATTCATCCACCGACCGCCACTCTCTCACACAACCTTTCCACAAAGCTTCACGAAGCACCAACAACAGCTCTTCGTCGCTTTCCTCCCCATTTGCTACGGTCTTTCCCCCCCTCACATTATCACCATGTCCTGGCAAGGTATGTCATGTTCGCTCACGCTTCCCCTCGCAAAGAAACTCTCCTCCCCCACCTTGGGCGATTTCGTCCTCCATCGCCGATATGGCCATGTGCTAATGTTTTCCTGAACAGCTTACATCGACTCGAGGTAAACTACTCGCCGAACTGCGTCGAATCATGCACTGAAACTTCGATAGTCTCGTTGGCACCGGCCACGTCGACAAGGCCGCCATCATCAGCGCTGCTGGTGACAGCGTCTGGGCTACTTCCTCCGGCTTCGATGTGCGATATCCCAACCGAACCCCCCTCAAAATTCTTCCACGGCCGACTGACAAGCCCCGCAGGTGAAGCCCGAGGAGATGAAGACCATCTCCGCCATCGTGGGCGGTGACGACAAGGCCAAGGACGGCGCTTTCGCCGAGGGTCTCTTTGTTGCTGGCGAGCGCTTCGTTATGGCCCGCGCCGAGGACCGCAGCATCTACGCACGATCGGTACGCCCTGACACACATGGAATATGATAGGGGAGGTTTTGCTAACACCACAGCAGGGCAGGACTGGTGTCGCTATCGCCAAGACCAAGCAGGCCATCATCGTCGCCCATCACGGCGAGGCCGCTGTTGCCGGCAACGCCAGCTCCGTCGTCGAGGCCCTCGCCGACTACCTCATCGGACAGGGATACTAAGCGATGGCGAGAGAGGAGGGCTGGATGTGAACATGAGCGTTCTTGGGAGGTCATTTGCAAAATCAACAACGACAACAAGGAACGAGTGCCCCACGCAGTCGGTGTGCGGCCCGTGTGCTATGGAATGGCAGGGAGGATGAATATTACTTTTCGTCTTTTCTTGTTACATCGGGAGGCTACTTCTTCCCCTTGCGGAGAAGTGCCTCTGGAGTCTGCATATAAGCAATAAGATGCCCCTCGCGCACATAACCGCCCGGTCCTCCCTCCTATGCGTGTCGTTAAACTCCGTCTATGGTTACGCCCCATGAACGCCGCGGCAACGTCGCGCGGTTGACCGCCAAGTTGCCTGTGCCGACCCAAAAGAGCCTGCTCTCGAAAATGTCCTCGTAATTGCGCCCACTGCTGATAACTCTGTTCGTAATGCGCATGACCGTCGTTGCCCCGTCATTGATCTTCAGCTTGCAGTTCGACAGCACTCAGACTGGCAGCTCGGCATTCCTCCTCCCAATACCACTGCGATCCACAGCCATGCCGATATATGGCCCCACGACGGGGAGGCCCCTCGCGAAACCGGCAATCGTGCCCAGGAAGTCTCCAAACAGCACCACGATGCCATACGCTTCGATGATGAAGCCGATAAACGTCCACTTGAGTAGAATCAGGGCGAGACCAACAAAGAAGGCTGCCGTGCCTTTGGCTTTCTGCTTTCGTGCAAAGAACAAGAGGGTCTTTTGAGGGCCGATGATGATGGTCAGGCCGATGAGGAAAAGGATCTGGTAGCATCGGTAAGTCGGTCGGCGATCCGGGAACTCAGGGGTTTCGTACGTTTCCCATAGCTAGCCTGCGCGCATGTCAGTAGCTGCATGACAAGGGAAGACAGGGACATACATGGCGCGATCAAAGAACAGCATCACACCTCCGACGAGGAAGAAGCCACCTTGCCCATGGTATTAGTGTGCTTGCGCCAGATTCTCCAGGTAAAACCAAGTACATACCGCCGGAGCAGAAGACTACTCCGATCTCTGTGGAGTGAAGTCAGCCATCTGTTATCTATTCGTCACGTTCGATGCTGGGCAGCATGGTCGCGTAGCTAAGGGAGAGCTTCTGTGCTCAGGCAGGACGTACTTTGTGTATCCGTTAGCCACATTGACATCTTGGCTAGTATTGGGGATCCTCTGGTGATGGTAGAAAATGGTAATTAAGGTATCGGGAAGAGGAGAGAGCGAATGATCTGTTCGTCGAGAGATGTGTCCCATGGGAATCTAAAAGTCAAGGGGGCTTGCGACAGGCAGGTCTAGGCAGGGTCCTCCTTGGCCGCCCGACAGAATAATTGAAGCACATGACGCAACCAGGGACACATGTCCATCTCTTATCTGCGTCGTTTGTAGGCCAGAAATATAAGGGACGTTTCGGAAAAGAGAACACGTTGACGAAAAGGGCGTGGGCGCTCTTCTCGCTCATATTTAGATTGTCTATCTAGAGCTAAGAATAATCACACTCCCAAGCTTCCCAGAACCTTCAACTTGATAGCGTCTTGAGACACTTGCGCACTGAACAATTTGTCCCCTACCAACAACCCCTGGCAAAGTGGGCTGCAGCTTTATCGACGCGCCTTCGATTGGCCGATAGTCTTTTTCTGCTATAAAACCCATCAAACGTCCCTCAGCTGTCCAAACACCTCCATCAACCACAATTAGGCCAGTTGCGCTATGTCGAGGGCGCGGATCGCCCTCTTGATGCCCTCAATATAGGAAACGGCCGAGGCAAGTGCCTTAACCTCATTTTCCTGGAATGCGCATCATTTGGCACCAATATCCTGCCCATCGGCTCAAACTCTAGATCACAAGATCACACACCTGGATCGGCGACTGGATGCTTGCCTCGTCTGCATTCATTGTACCTAGTGTATCTATGGCGCCCATGTTGGCTGGCCACTCGCAACCCTGCCGCGGCGGCCAGAGCTCTGCTCTGGTAACTGAGATTGTTTCCCCCATACAGTCTCGGTACTATGTCGCTTCTTTCTGGCAGAGAACAGCACTCGATCCCGATTAAGCCGGAGCGCCAACTGTCATCCCTTGGCCGAAAGGCCGAGGGTGCATAGTCGGGGCTTGACTTTGAGGTTCGGACATTCCGTCTTTGTATCTTTGCTCGTGCCGTCATCCTGGTCCCGCGTATGAAGTGATGTCGTATGTCTACCGCCGTTCACTTGAGCACGACGTGCGCGCCGCGTGCTTCGAGGAACTGCTCCGCCGTAGTCTGGGGTATCGACCGTACCATCCCGAAGACCTCCTTGTTGTGATATCGTAGTCTCGACTTGGGGTCGAGGTATGGAGCCGGTAGCCCTGTGATGTCGCAGTATCTCTTGGAGTGCGCCAGCGAGGGCGCCGACTCAATGTTTGTGTAAGTGGCCGTCGGTGCCGTCATGACGGTCCCTGGTGTCGCGCCGGGCTGCGTCTTCAGGGTCTTCTCCAGCACCAGCTTCGACAAGCTCCGTGATGCTTGCGCCAAGTTTGGCCCATTCCCATTGCCGTTGCTGTTGTTTGTGGCTGGCGTCGATGTTCCGCTCGTCGACAAGCCGTCATCTTGGTTACCGCCTCTGGATGGAGAGGCGACGCCCGACTGTTCGTTGGGCGTGACCAGAGCAGAGGCCTCGCGTCGTGTGGCGTCTCCCACAATGGCCTTGAGGTTCTTGTTGCGGCGTTGGTTGGGACGCCAATTGGGGTTACGGAAGTTCTTGTGCACGGAGTGGATGTCGAGCTTCTCGATGAGTTGCTGATGCGCGATCTGCGCCTCGGTCGGGGCTTTCTCCGTCATTTCGTCGGGTCGCGTGTCTTTAGCAATTCGGGGGTCTTCAAGGTTGGCGAGTGCCGATTGTTCAAAATGTGTTTGCTTCGCAAGTGTTGAAGCGGCGTGGAAAGCGAGTCTACAACGGCACGGTACCTCGACTTTCGGTCGACGTACGTCTAGACGCAGTGTGGGGTCTCTGCTCTGAACACAAGAGGTGCTTTACGCGACCGCGTGAGCCTGCTTAACACTTCACTCGCCCATCCTTTGCACAGATCACAATGGTAAATGATATTATCTTAGAGATTCACGAATTATGAACTGACCGGTCCCAAGGAAAGCCCACACGAATATCAGCAGAATCTGCTGCTGTCCCGCATCATCACCAATGTGGTTCGTGTAGTCCTGGCCCATCGTAACAGGGCCTCAAACTGATCGTCAATAGGAGAAGCTAAATGAAGCTGTTGTTGCCATGAACAAGGGCCTTCAGGTATAGAAAAATCGTCCCCGTGCGCCCAGACTTCCTGACAAGCTGTATAGGAAATCAACATTGAGAATATGAATGTGGAGCTGGTCGCCCAGATGTTCAAGAACTACCAGTCCAACGTGCTATTTCACTTGGAGGGTAGGTTGTTCCTCATGTACTTACACTCTCATGTCCTAACCAGTGTCTAGCTACGGATAACCTCAAGCCCCCGTCTTGAAGACGTTCGATGAGTAGCACGCGATGGGGAGACTCGATGCGACCTTCTCGGGTAGAAGAGGCCACCAAACGCAACGGTCAACCACGCACAACGAAGTCGTGACATGGTGGGACGAGCTATCAGCGAACATCAGGCATGGCATCGATGCCAGTCTCGACAGTTGGCCACCTTATTATGTGTAAACCTAGCTTACATGTCCTTGCGAGACCGTTGCACCGTTGCTAGGTGCGGGCGGGATATGCACATATCTTCCACCACGAGCCCGAGTAAGAGCACTGGCTTAGCAAAACTACCCAGTAATAATCAAAATCAATATCAAAGATATGAAAAAAGGGGAAAGAATAGCGGTAGACCCGTCAGTTGTCCGATGCTGATTAGAGATTCTTTACGTGACGCGAAAGCCGACCTCGCCCAATTCAAGGTGGATCTCCAACTTGCAAGCTCCCGCTATCCGTGAAATGCATTCTCTCAACGTGAACGGTTTCGCGACTTCAGCCATCGTGCATTTACCGTGCGCCAACACTGCTTCTGCCTCCTGCCCCCGACGATCCCGCCCAGCTCCTCCCCGCCGCATGCAAAGGTGAATTGGTCCGTACCATGCAGCCGAACTGAACGAGCGCATCCGCAACATTCTCCCCGTCCATACGTCAACTTCGCGACAATGGCGCCCTCCGCCGTTGCTGACCCCACGGCGAGCCTAGACGTCAAAATGACCGACGCGAAGACGTATCCGCCAGCGCAGATATACCCGGTCAAGGAAATGCGCTTCGAGGGTCCTATTGAGCCCCAGCCAGATGGTCGCGAACGAGCATTGCAGCAGCCCAATGCGACCATTGTCATCGATAATGGTACGCGATCTCCCCATGGATTGCAAAAACATGTCTGATGATCGAATCTAGGGTCGTCTACGGTCCGAGCCGGCTGGTCCTTCGAGTCGAATCCACGCTTCAGCATACCGCCCATCATGGCCAAGTACCGAGACCGCAAGCTAGGGAAGACCTTTTCTTTCGCGGGGTCTGACTGCTACGCCGACACGTCGGCCAAAGGTCATATACGAAATGCATTCGAGCTCGGCACGGGCGTGGTTGCCAACTGGGACGTGATGGAGCATGTACTGGACTACATCTTCCTCAAGCTCGGGATGAACGATGCGGATGGAGCCATTGATGTGCCCATTGTCATGACAGAGGCGGTGGCCAACCTGCCGTATTCCAGAAAATGTGAGACTGCGACTCTCCCAGACAAAGGTGTTCAATGTTAACGAGAAGCAGCCATGACGGAGGTTCTATTCGAATGTTACGGCGCGCCCTCAATAGCCTACGGCATCGATTCCCTCTTTTCCTACCGACATAACAAGGGCTCAACTGGCCTGGTCGTTTCTTCGTCATACACATCCACACATGTCATCCCTGTGCAGAACTCCAAGGCTATGCTGGGGCAGGCTACGCGTCTCAATTGGGGAGGCTTCCACATGTCTGAGTACCTCCTCAAGCTCATCCGGCTCAAATATCCGACTTTCGCGGGGAAACTCAATGCCTCACAAACAGAAAACATGCTCAAGGACCATGCCTATGTCTCCCAGGACTTTGACCAGGAGCTCGCGGGCTACCTCGACTGGACCGGGTTGGAAGATCGTGACGTGGTGATTCAGTACCCCTACACAGAGGAGGTCATCATTGAGAAGAGCGCAGAGGAGTTGGCCAAGATTGCTGAGCGCAAGAAGGAGAGCGGGCGGAGGTTACAAGAACAAGCGGCCAAGATGCGTCTGGAAAAGCTCGTTAAAAAGGAGCAAGACCTGGAATACTATCGCAATCTCCAGGCGCAATTGGTGGACGAAACGAAGAAGGAAACGCGCCGCCTCCTCGACAGCCACGAGCTGAAGGACGAGGCTGAGTTGGACAAGATCATTCGAGAGCTCGAAAAGTCCATCAAGAAGGCTCGGATCAAGGACGTCGGAGGCGACCTGGAGGAGCTGGAAGAAGCACCTGACTTTAGCCTCCTCGAGGTTCCAGACGAAGACCTAGACGATGCGGGTTTGAAGCAGAAGCGTCAACAAAGGCTTATGAAATCGAACCATGACGCTCGAGCACGCGCAAAAGCCGAAAAGGAGGCTGAAAAGGCACGGGTGGAGGAGGAGGAGCGTCGCGACACGGACCGCCGCGTGAACAACCTGGAAGATTGGCTCGAGGACAAGCGCGCAGCCCGCGCTGAGGTCCTCGCCAAGATCAAAGAGCGCGACCGTCTCAAAGCCGACCTGGGCAACCGTAAATCCCTTGCCTCGCAGATCCGCATGAAGAACATTACGAATCTTGCTTCAGACGGACCAGCCAGGAAAAGGCGACGTGGCGGAGACGACGATAATTTCGGTGCCAATGACGACGACTGGGGTGTGTACAGGCAGATCACGGTGGGGGACAACAGTGAGGACGAGCATGAGGAGGAGGATCTCCATGCCAGCCTCAAGGAGCTCGAGCAGGATCTGCTCAAGTACGATGCCGACTTTGACTATGAGCAGACCTATGAGGCGCAATCAGACTGGTCGCACTCTCTCCTGCATGCCTTTGCCCGTGGGCCAAGACCGTTTGACCCTTCAAGACAAGCCGAGCTGAATCAGGTGCATCTCAACGTCGAGCGCATCCGCGTGCCCGAAGTCGTCTTTCGTCCGTCGATCGCTGGCGTTGACCAGGCCGGCCTTGTCGAGATTGCAGGCGACATCTTGAACCAGCGCTTGGCCTCGGTCCCCAACAGGGAGGAGTTCTTCAAGGACATCTTCCTCACCGGAGGCAGCACTTTGTTCCAGAACTTTGATCAGCGCCTGCAGAACGAGCTCACCGCGCTGTTGCCTGCTGGCTCGCCTCTCAAAGTGCGCCGGGCAAAAGATCCTGTCCTCGATGCCTGGAGAGGTGCGGCTGAGTGGGCGGGCTCGGATGCGTGGAGGCAGGCCAAGATTACCAGGGAGGAATACCAAGAGAAAGGCGCAGAATACATTAAGGTGAGTGGCCCGAGGTGGTCAACCAAGCGTCACGGTCTTGCTAACGAGAAATAGGAGCACGACATGGGCAATTCCTACGCCTAACACGGTTTTTGCATGGAGTTTCAGTGTAGGATTTCTTTTAAAAGAATGGGTTCAACATTAGTAAATGTAATAACAATGATTCTGCCAGCTGGACACGTCTAGCCAGACACGCTCACCCCTCATTTCTTCGTAATCGACCTGGAAAAGAAACTCCATAAACGCCCGCCCAGCTTTCCTTCTAACATCAGCGGCCATATGGCCTACCTGCACACACACACAAAGTCTTAGCTGCCGCGCTAAAGGGCAGAAGAAGTGAAGTACCACAGAACGCCAAAAGTCAGTCTCCATCACCACGTATAAACACGCCATGAACCTCGAGGTCTTCTTCAGCCTATGAAGTGGGCGCCATCAAATTGCCGCCTGGCTCTTCGGCAATCTATGCCTCGGAAGCCTGTGCAGGCAGCGGTTCTTGGGCGGGCGCGGCAGGTCCAGGGCTGTCCTTCATCTCCTGGTCCTCGGATTTCTCACTTGACGCGCCACTGGCAGCCTCAAGGCCAGCTACGGCTCGCGCAACGGCCTCGAGACCCTTGGCATTTCGGATGTATTCGGGTGTCATGGGACGTGGCGGCTCTTCAGGCTGTGCCATGTCCAGTCCCGGTGGAGGCTGGGGTATTTCGCCGGTCACATCATATAGACGGGACTGAAGATGCAAAGCATACTGCCTCATACGGTATAGGTCGATCTTGCCCTGGCGGTACGTCTGCTCCATCTTCCGAAAGTCTTCGTTTTCCTGTTCCAATCGCTTGATCATGGTTTCTTTCCTTGCGCGGAATGCTCGCTTTGACCGTCAGTCAGGTGACGGAATGTTTCAGACGCAATAGAACCTACCTGCGCTGCGCGATTCTGTGCCGCGCGCTTTGTTTGCGATAGCTCACGGTTTGGCCGTGATCGTCCGTCATGCCAGCGCTGCAGGGCCTCTGGATCGTCAGATGGAGGGGCCGGCGCAATGTTGGGCCCAGCTGCCGCCTGTAGACTCTGGTCGGCTATCTGTCGCGGCGGAAGCTGTTGCTGCATGTGCTGATCGGGCTGGCCGTGCAGGTGTTGATCCTGCTGTGGATGGGGCTGCGGGTGAGGCTGAAGGTGTTGCTGCTGCTGTGGTTGTTGCGGTGGTTGCGGTTGCGGTTGGGTTTGCTGCTGTTGCACCGTCGTCTCCTGCTGCGACGGCTCGCTCTTTGATTGCGTAGCCGCCATGTTGGCGGTTGGGGCCTGGGCTTGCGCTTCTTCTTGGCCGCGTAGGTCCGGGTGGATGTACTGGTGCTCAGCTTCGGGGCGGTTCAGGGCGCGTTTAACGTCGCGGGAAGCAGCGGCAGTGGGGTCGAATCCATTCGACGATGTTTCCTGGGGCGAGGCACTCTGTTGTTGTGGGTGCTCGCTGTGGTGCGCGTCGTCCGCTGCGCCTTGACGCTGCTCGTTCTCGCCGCGGAGGAGCTCGACTTGGGCGCGCAACTGCTGATCGTGCTCTGAGGGCAGTCATGTTAGCTCTGTGCGCGACGGTCAGGAAGTCGGATTTCGGCTCGAAAGGCCCAGGGGGGGGTGAATATGCCAACTGGCGCGCGTGGAAGAGAGCATTACAACAATGGGTTCGCGGTGAGCGATAGCAGCTCATGCAGCGACCGTGTAAGGCAGCTGGTGAGTTGACATGGACAGATTGAGTGTTGGGGACAGTGTCGGATGAGTACATTAAGGGTACCAGGCCAGTCGCGTAGATATGGCGACGACGAAGAGCGTAATGAATTGAACGTACCTTGACCGTTGTGAGGTGCAGTCGTATTCGAAGACATGATGGGAGCTTGATGGCCGGGGATGGGCGATCTTACTCAGCAATTGCGAGAGAGAGAGGCTGGCGAGGATGACTGATGAAAGTGAGATGCAGCGACTGCGTGGGTGGAGGATGGGCTTATGTAATAGACGGTGGTGCACTTTCCGAAACGGAGTTTAGCTTTCCACTGTTGTCATGTACATGTGCGGCAGCCCTCCATGCGCTTATCTGAGCAGACAGCAATCGTGCATTTCACCAAAGTTCTTTACTTGAGGGATGCAAGCAAACGATGCCGCGATCTCCGAACCAATCTGCAAGCTCGTGCGAGCAAGATTTGATGGTGTTGTCGCCTGGGCAGTTGAGCCTCCGGGTCTATTAGTCATCCGTGCGCGCGCGCCTTGTGACGCGGCTGTAGCGGCTGCGATGGATCATGCAAGGCAGGAGGCAGAAGCCATTCAAGCTTGTTGGACCGATGGCAGCATTGTTCACAGAACCCCGTGTCCTAATTAGCACGCACGTTGATTTTCCGCATTCCCTGTCATACACAACTCTTTGAGACAGCGATCGAGGAGGCCATGCACATGCCGAGGTCCCTGCCCCTCGAAGCCCGTCAATTAGCGCAACGGCTATCGTTCTGACGCTGCTCAACCACCTGACAAGCCCAGCACTCTTGTATTGATAGAAGCAAGTGCATAATGATCTGATCGATGCGGGCGCTGTCGTCCCAAGTGAAATCGCGCATACCACTTGCAATCCTCTTGAGACGCGCCGGATCGGGATTGACAGGCTGAGTCTGGCTACCCGGAACTCTGAACTACACGTCGGTCTTATTCGCTTGGCCATTATGCGTTGGAAGTGATTTCGGTGCATCTACTGAGGCGGCGTTCCTTAATAAAGGAGGGCTAGCATTTAGTTATTTGGGTTGCTGTGAATGACGCAGCAATACATGTGTGGTCCGTGAACGTGCCTCATAGTGTCACGACCAGCCCCCCAGACGACAAGACGTACTGTGGTAGGAACATGAAACGAGCAATGGAAAAAAGATAATGCCAGCATTTCCGAACTTATGTATTGCGCACGATGTATTTCCCGGATTAGCAGAGCCATGATAGTGTTGACATTTGTTCGAAATCGGAATCTCAGCACCGCTACGTACCTGACAGGAGATAAATCCCCCCACCGTACAGATACTCCAGGTGCACTTTTGCCCTTGACAACTCACAAGATGCCACCGGTAGGCTTTCGATCCGTTGTGCAAACAAAAAAGACTATACTTGGACGTATTGCGGGACGCACAATGGCAACCAAGGCTCGCTTCTCCGATGGTACAGATGAGGCTACCGCAACGCCTGCTCTCAATGCCTTGCTATCAAAACATTGGACGCTCGCAAAAGAGGGTGAAGCACTGGAGCGGAGCTTCAAATTCAAGACGTTTTCAAAGACGTGGGTATGTTCATGAATATACGACTCCCCTCCTAGCAATACTGATATTTGGTAGGACTTTATGACTGCAGTTTCGCTGCAGTGTAAAATAAAAAACCACCATCCCGAGTGGTCCAACGTAAGGACAACGGCTCTGGCCCCATACACAAGTCCGCTGACGACCAATAGGTGTACAACACGACATTTATCAGATGGACAACCCATAATCCCAAAGGTCTGTCAGACAAAGACTTGGACCTCGCGACCAAGTGTGACGCCATTGCTGCCGAGCTGGGAGAGCTGGCTCCCGAGCCCCCCAGCTGCGAGATCAGGGATGTCGCGGACAAGGCGACAACATCGGCAGGGGACTGCTGTGTCCCGAAGAAGTGAACGAGGCGCGTTAGGCGTGGCTGATCACCACTATGCAGCCATCGATCTTGTTGCGATCGCGGTTGGCGTAACCACTCATAGAAAAGGGTCCATATTGCTCGCAAGTTCAAAGTGTCTTTGAGGAAGGATTTGAGTATTAATTAAAATGTATAGTTCCCATGATAGTACCCGCATATTTACAACCGGCAGGTTTCCACGCTACACCTAACGCCACTCATGCTGCATTTGCTGGACAGGTCTAATTACCCGCAGGTCTATTCTTCTTTCGGAGTGAGTGTGCTTCTCATCAGTATCCATTTGCTCATCTTGATCTGTCGGCAACGCCGCCAGACATGTCGTGCACCGCCGTGGCAGCTTGACCAAGTGTTTACTGGGCCTTCTTCTGAGACCTGATCTTGGCGAGCTTCTTCTCGCGACGCTTCCTGTGCGCCTCGGCACCAGCCTCAGTGTCCAGCATGTAGTCCCACCAGCGGAAGCTGGAGGCGTAGTTGCCAATGAACCTCTCGTGATGCTCGTCGTGGTGGTCGGCGCCAGCCCAGACAGGAAGGAAGTGGCGCAAGCTCCAGGGGAAGTCGTAGCCCGAGTGCGCATCGATAGCCTGGAACAAACGGAGGGTGATCCAAGCGTACATGGTCAAGAGGTGCAGATCGCCGGTGATCTTGAGGAACAGGACGGGGGAGCCAACGACTCCAAGGCCGAGGAGCATGGTCTCGATGGGCGACGCGTACTCAGCGGCGAGACCGAAAGGAGCAGAGTAAGTGTGGTGCATCTTGTGGATTGCCTTGTACAGAGGACCGTAGTGCAGGCAGCGGTGGAACCAGTAGTGCCAAGTATCCTCCATGACAAAGAGAACGGCAATTGTCACGGCCATCTTGAGGAGCGATGGGAAAGGTACACCGTAGTCAATTCCGAAGTAGGTCGCGATGGGGTGGAAGAACCAAATCTGAGGAAGCTCGGCGGTGAAGTGGCTGATGAGGACGATGGCAGCGCAGTCCCACTGCTCCTTCAGAGTGGGCATCTTCTGGGGCTGGATCTTGTACTTGTGGAAGTAGGGGATCTTGTCCATGATCATGAAGGGGATGCAGCGGCCAAAGTAGACAATCTCGTGCATCAGGAAGCTCATGATACCGGTCGCGAGCGTGTCGTTCTGCATGTACATGTACCAAGCCTGCCAATAGCATCAGTATCTATCCGTGGTCGATCGGACGAGTCGGAGGGAACATACAGCCCAAAGCTTCTCGAAGTAGTTGAGGTGGACATTGTACTTGGACACCTCCTCAAGGACACCGAAGTAGTCCTGAGTCTGGTTGAAAGTACTGGCCGTGGCGTTGCTGCACAGGCGCAAGTTAGCATCGCAGGATGGATAAAGGCGCGATCGACGCGGTTACTCACACGAAGTCCATGGCTGGGACGGCAGCAAGTTACAACGAAGGGAAGGATAAGAAGTCCTAGCGAAGGAAGTGCTGACGGACCCAATACCAATGTTGTGTGAGGGAAGAGGAGGAAAGTAAGGGACGCGAAGACTTAACTTAACATCTTTCGAAGATCCAGGAGAAGGTGACCACCACAGGGGCGGCAAAAAAGATTATGGAGACGTGACCCCTGCTTGGCGGGACCGTCAAATGAGAGATGGCCTGATATGTTGAACGGCAACCGATCGGTACTAGCGTTAGTGGCTGCGTACGAATTATGCAAGTCCACTCCCATCATGATCAGATTTCCATCTCTCGGAAAGTTGTGCAGCCGGGCGCTGTACAGTTACCGACCCGTCGTATTCGTATCACTGTCGACACCGACTCAACGTGGGTGCACCGCCACATGCTCGAGCAATCACACGAGCCACGGCACACCGAGGCCAGACAAGCCACACACAGTCTCTTCCGACCGCCGATCGAGTGAAGAGGTTGAGAGCTCGATCTCAATTCCACGGATTTGCCATCTTTACTTTAGTGAGATCCACACGGAGGAACACGGTTCGTCACGCTAAACAACATCCGTAAACGTCATTTCGGTTTCCACCCAAATTCTTTGTTTTGTTGATTGTTGCGCTTCCTCTCCACCGTTCAAACAGCGCATCTTGTCGAATCGTAGCACAGCACAGCAGCTGCAGGTGTGATTTGGACGCCGGCAAACGTCCACCCGAGCTCATCCGACTTTTTTTCCAAGTTTGATGAGGGCGTGGTGTCATTGTCAGGCCCATCTGTCGACTGATCAGCTTGCCGCCTGACCTCGCTTCAACTCGAAATAAGCTATCCATCCGACAATCCCTGGAATCATCCAGTCCGGTTTCTGGTCCCGTCGTTCGCCCGGTTCTTGTCGTCCCGAGTCGGCTCATCTCCAGATGCCATGTCTCTCGTCACGGAGTACGTTCTGCTCATCATGGTCCCTGATGTCATTGGGTCAGGCATACACACACTCACTGACACTCATCTATAGCCAGGTTCGCCGTCTAGACGCATACTTGGATCGATTTCCCGTTCTCTCCGAAGAACCGTCCGAGGCAGAAAGCTCAAATTCCGAGGAGCATACCCAGCATGGTTTTGCGATAACAGACCGTGCGGCAGCGCGACGCCTGGACAGGCTGTTGCTGATTTCGCAATCGCTCAGCACGACAAACTCGTCTCGCCCACTTCTCAGCGCAAACCACATCCGGGAATTGCTGCTCGAATCCGAGATCCCTGATGTTGGCAAGCCACGAGACTACGTCACTTCTAAAAGCTTATATGAGGATGAGGTCGAGTGGCTTCTTGTGAGCAAGGCAGCTGTCCAGCTGCATGGGGTGGTTCTTAACACATTGCTGGATCGGATCATTCCCTTGAACGACGACATTTGGTACTGGGACGATGTGCTCAACTCATATACATACAGCAGCCTGTACGCAATCCAGACATCACCTTGGCGCTTTGGTGCATGGTCAATGGACATCTACCATGAGAGCATGGCCAGGTTACGGACAGCGTCTGCTACCGATTCGGCAGGACACCTCATCAACTCAGCGCATGAGGGCCTGACACAACAATGGAGGCAATTCTACGGCATCGTCAGCGACAGCATTCGCGAACGTTCCTTCTCCAACATTCAGCGCAAAGCCCTGTCACCTGTCGCTTTTTGTCGAACTGAAGCTAGGCGCAAGCAGGCCCAGCTGAAGAAGTTGCGCGAAATAACCGCGTGCGGTCTGGGTGTTCTCATGTCCGAGGGGTTGCAGTTTAGCCAGGATGACGACAAGACCAACGTCTTTGACGCCAACGACCTCAAAGGAACGGTTGAGCGGAGTGTGGCCCTGCTGGATATGGTGCTTAAGGAGGTCTCCAATACGGGCACGAGCATTACCGACTTTGAGGAAAAGGTGTTCCTCGGCGTGGAAAGCGATACGGAATTATCAACCCATGCCGAAGACGCCAACGAGCCCAGGCGCCCAGCCATCCTCGGTCGGCGTCTGTTGCATATCATTGAGAAAGTTCTGCCGCAGCACCAACGTCAGATGTCATTGCTGGTCAAACACAGTGGCCGCCCTTCGCGCCTTGTACGATACTGGCTTCCTAGCGTTGCTGCCATGGTCTCTTCAACTACAATCCTCCGGATTCTCGTCAATCGAAAAGCTGAGATCCTGAGCTGGATTGCCGACTTTGGCGTGACCGTCCGGGACTTTTGGTTCAATTGGGTTGTTGAACCGACGACAAAGGTCATCCAGACAATCCGCCACGACAAGAGCAGCGAGATCGCCATCATGAGCCGAGACAGTCTAAGGGCTGATCGTGAGAGCTTGGAGAGGATGGTAGTAGACTTTGCCACTGATAAACCTCACTTTGCTGATGTCAACACGTCATCACTCACGCAAGAGCAAATTTCAGCGATTCGGACGAAGGTGGCCCAGGGAGATGTGACGCCCGTGCTGAAGGCTTTCGAGCAGGATCTTAGGAGCCCCTTCATGGGTGCTGTGCGCGGGGACCTGGTTCGCTCTCTGCTTATCCAAGTACAGAAGACCAAGGTCGACCTGGAAGTCGCAATGACTGGCATTGATGCCTTGCTGAAGAGCCAGGAGTTGGTCTTTGGCTTCGTGGGGCTCACACCAGGTGTCTTGGTCTCCATTGGAGTCTTCCAATATCTACGCAACGTCTTCGGAAGCCGCTCAGGCCAACGCAAAACTAAGAAATCTACGCGAGCCGTCCGGGTTATGCGCAATATTGACCGCGTATTGTCCGATGCCCGGCCCGCGGAGAACAGCAACATCTTGTCCTACAAAGATCATGGCCTCTTGCTGTGCGAAGTGCACGTACTGAGGTGCCTTGCCGGTAAAATTATGCCACATGACATCAGAAGGGACTTTCTCGAGGATCTATCAGACCTTGAGAAGATGAAGGGTATCGACGTGCAGGCCAAGGCACTGAACAGGCTCCGGTGGGCTTACGCAAAATGGTTGCAGTAGGTTCATAGATATAGGTTCCCCCCTTAAAGGGAAACCATTCAAAATTTAAAAGAAGAAGTAAACACATATGAGTATTTCACTCTAGCTCTATGCTCTTGGCGTGCCGTGATTGCTATGTTCGTTCCTAATATTCCCTTGTTAAGGTCCCGCCGCGCCCGAATAATCCATAGGACAACCCAGGTGAGATACGCTGACGCCGTTTAACGATGATGTTGTATGGAGCATAGGAATGGTGTGCTCAACCCAGGAGTTTCTGCAGGTCAGCCAAGCGCGTCTCCTTGGCCTTCTTTTTGTTCTCTCCTTTCTCATGGAAAGCCTTGCTGACGAGCTCCCTCTTGTCGCGCTGAATATCCAGTACTCGGTCCTCCACCGATCCCTCCATCACGAGACGGAAGACTGTCGTCTCGCGCGTTTGCCCTAGTCGGTGCACGCGGTCAATAGCCTGGTCCTCGATCGCAGGCGCCCACCCTAGTAGTGTTAGTGATCGTGTGAGTGTCAGATGGAAAGGGAGGGGGTCTCACAGCTGTCAGAAAGAATAACAGTGTCCGCAGACACCAGATTTAGTCCCACGCTACAGACTGACAGACTTGCGAGCATGACTCGTGTTTCGTCGTCGTTGTCTAGCGCAGCGATGGCTTGATCGCGTTTGGCAATGTTCATGCTACCATCAATCCTGGTGAACTTGATGCCTTTTGCTTCAAGCTGGGCCTGCACGACGGTCAGGAAGCTCGTCCACTGCGAGAAGACGATGACTTTGGAACCGCGCTTGTTCGTCACCGCCTTGATGATCTGGGTGATTGCTTCAGTCTTGGAGCTCTGCGTCTCGCCGTCAAAGTTGACGTCGGCCTCGCCTTCTTCCGGGGCTGGTTCGAGGAGGTGATCTTCCTCCAGCTGGTTACGACACATGGGGCACTTGTGTTGGATCTGGATTGCGCGAGTTATGCACCCGCGGCAGAAAACGTGCTTGCAGTGTGTGATGACTGGTGCAGCAGGAGTATCGTAGCAGATGGCGCAGTCTTCTTGCGACTCAATGTAGAGCCTGAGAGCTTCTTGGAGCAGTGCAGTATTCTTCGGCGTCAATTCCACAACGTCCTCGTCCTCTAGCAGACGCATGAGATCCTCCACGCGGGATTTGCACAGGGTCCAATGGTTGCAGCTATGAGAGATGTCAGCCCACGGTCGGATCAAGTGAGTAAAGAGCGCAGGCACTAGGGATAACGTACACTTGGCGGAGTCGCAATAGACGTTCAAGCACATTGGTGAAGCGACCACCTGTCTGAACATTCTCCCTGGCTTGAAACTGCTCCAAAGCACCTTTGGCTTCTGCCAGTAGTGCGTCGTACTTCTGCTTCTCCTCAGGGTAGAATGGAATGCGCTGTACAAACTCCTTCTTCTCAGGTAGCTTGAGGTCGACAAACTTCATGTCCTTTCGGCGCCTCAAGCACACGTCCTGCATGAGGTTCTGCAGGAGCGCCTCGCCCACGCGGTCACTATCTCCCAGCCTGCGTGTTATCACGCTGTTGAAGATGTCTGGTTGCTCGATGCCACCCCTAATGCCAAGGAACCTGACCAGAGATTGAAGATCCTTCACGTGGTTGATGATCGGTGTGCCTGTGAGGACCCAGCGTGACTTGGCCTGGAGCTTGTAAGCGGCCATGGCCACCTTTGTCTTCGAGTTTCGAATCGTGTGGCCTTCATCGAGAACCACGCGCCGCCACTCCACCTTGTCTGATGTCAAGATGCTGTCTGACGTGAGTTTTCCGTAGCTTGTGATGACAACGTCATATTCCAACAGTTCCTTGGCGGTTAGTTTCTTGCCGACGTGGTAGATTATGGTCGAAGGCTGATTCTCCTTGCGGACATGTCTCTGTATTTGCTGCTCCCAGTTGCTCATCACACTCACGGGGGCGACGATCAGTGTTGAGCCTGGACCACCTGTAACAATAAGGCTGATCGTCTCGAGAGTTTTGCCGAGACCCATGTCATCGGCGAGTATACCACCAGAGAGGAGCTGTGGTGGAATTTTCGTGTAGAAGTCGGTCGCAATGTTCCAATACAACTTGTTCGGGTGCCGTCTCCAGAGCTGCACTGCGTCATCCTTGTCGGTATTGGGAAGCGAGGGATGCTCCTTTGCCGTCATCCACGCCAGCGCTTGCAGTTGGTATGGTAGCAATGTCGCGGACAGTTGGGGAGGCTGTGCCGCCTGAGGCATCTGTGCGAGCTGTTCCTCGCTAAGAGCCAAGGTCTTGATCGCATCCTTGTCTGCCCTAAAGTCCACAGCCTCGCTGTTGCTGAGCAGGCTCACAAGTGTAACAGTTGGTTCGTCCTCGATGACGACGGCTTCCCCTACGCCAGCGGTTGACCCTCCGTTCCGCAAATCTTGAATGCGCCTCCGAGCTTCAGCATCCTTCTTAGTCTGCTTAAGCTGCGTTGCTTTCACGAGCTTGTCCTTTTTTAGGTTGGCCTCGATGGTGGCTCTCTGTGTGGCATCACTCGGTCCATAGAAGGAGAGCTTGGCTGGACAGTCGTAGAACCCCTTCTCGCCGGTCAGTTGACCCTCTATCACCAAGTCACCGCGGTCCTACGCACGTCAGACAAGCCCAGTGAGATCCAGTCTTCGGACTTACGACATAGGGAGCGAGCTTCGTCACTACCTTCCTAGGTAGATGACCAACTTGCTGGCCCATTACATTGTCAATACGAATTGCGTTGCTGTCGAACTGGACATTGGTCAGCAGATACTTGTCAACACGTGAGCCCTGGCCGTACCTTGTTCTGTGGTTCTCTGATGCACAAGACAAGTTCGCCCGGAGACACGCGACCGTTATAATATCTTATACCAACGATCTTTCCGTCTAGTCTTCATCAGCAAAGAGACTCACTATTTAGATTTCAAGAGGAATATACCAAATGTCCCGTACAGCTCTCTAATTGGTCCATCATCTTCCTGAGTCAAGTCCACAGAGTCCGGCTCGAGAGTTAGTGTAGGCGTCGGGATGGATGTGGATGTCGCGTAGTGAAGCCTTCTTGTCTGTGAGGGGGGTTCGTGGTCACTGTTCTCGCCGGTGAGGTCGACCACGTCGCGCCAGCTCCTCTTTCGAGGTTGAGACATACTGAGTGCGGTCTTGGTTAAGTTTCATCAAAGGATTAAGCACAAGACATCCAGTTGAGTTTGTAGAGTGATGCAGAAGTAACAACACCGTGTTCTTGTCACAGCCGAAGCAATTGATCCTGCTGAGCGTATCCTAGTCGAAAGTGAAGATTGGCTCACAATTGTATCAGCTCAGACGCGGTTGTGGTGACGCGATTGTAGATCAGAAGCGCCAACACGATCCGGGGTTATTTTCAGGGCCTAATGACTGAGTCGCGCTAATGATTACAGGGCCTCCGACACTGAACAAAGCGACGGCACGACGAACAACCGCCTCGGATAACGAGACCGGGTTCTAATTATGAAGGAATCTGTCAATAGGGGTATTCAGTACTACTGTGATTGATAGGCGTTTCTTATACACCTGGGTTGCAGTTGATAGTGTGCCTGACAGGAGATGATGAGGCAGCGCAGACCAGAAAGAAAGGCATGGATGCAACCCGAAACTGTCGCTCAAGAGGTGCTTGAATAATTGAATTACAGACTCATTATGACCCGCGCATAGCTGCTCAACAATTGACGAGGTGCAAAAGCACCAATTCACAAGTATTCATGCCAGGACCGCAGATGCTTGGAGTTCACAGCTGATGACTCATCAGGGTTTATCTAACGCCCGCCGACAGCCCGCGCAGCCACAATTTGGCCGACGCAGAGAGGCAATGCCGCGATCACGCAATCGAGAGCACGGCTGTCGGAACAATTGAGGCAAGAGCTACAGGATCAAGTGAAAGAACAGCACCACCACTCGTCACCTCCTCTTTTCCCAATTACATCTTTTCACATTCTCGTTGTGGTTTCGCATACTGTTCGCAAAGCAACGCTTCAAATTATGCTGGTCTAATCAGGACTACTTGTATAATCTCCCTTTGCGAAGCGGCCCTCGGGTTTCGCAAGCCGACCGGCAAACATGGCCATTTCCTCCTCGCCTGGAGCGCAGATTTGGTCCCAAGAAACAAAATGTCAAACGCCGTCATTACAATCATCATGAAGTGCCCAGGGCCTTCAAAGAGATTCCTTCAACAGACGACCATATGCTGAGAAGTACTGGCAGCTCGCAACATGGCTTCGTCGACCCGTCTTCTCGTCGAAGATGTGACATCCTCCTCTAGCCACATTTGGAGGCGTGTACACTGCAGATGTCAGCCCTAGGTACGAGTGTATCGGGTTACCAGATGCTTACAATGAAGAGAGACAGCGAAGTCGCTACCTTCGTTGGTCACGCGATGGAGACCGAGTTCGTCTGCCATATACGCCACTTGGTTCTCCTTGTACGTCTTCTTGGTGATGACCTTCATTGGGCCATCACCCTGGGCAACTTCTGGAAACTCGTACCGAGTCTCCGTGAGGTTGCCGCGCAAGATTTTCATGAGGCAATGAGCATTGCCATGATCATGAATCGGGCTGCCCTTACCCGGGGACCATACGAGAACAAGCTGTTGCGTTTGGGTTAGTCGTTGACCTTGTGGATCATCTCCAAGCGGAATGCCTACCAGGTTGCTTTTCCCGTTTCCTTCGTCGACAAGGTTTCTAGTGTAGCCGCGGCTGGAATCGCCAAAGGCATACCTAGACCACTCCTGATCGGAGCTGTCATAATCTCGCATTAGGTCCGACAAGAAGTTTACATCGATATCGTCCGAAGTCAGACCCGACGAGGGGCCAAGAGCGTCCTTGAGAGCTTGCACCAATCGATCAAACCGACCGACTTCCCGGGAGCGAGCACCAAGAGCAGTTGGTTTTGAAGCGACATCAACGGCCGTCATACTGGACAATGTCATTGTGTTGGACATGGTTACAATCGTTTGGGGTGGGCGTCGTGGGAGAATGGTGCTGGCTTGCGAGTCGGGATGATTCTTTGACCGTCGAAGAACCAGGCGAGGAGGATTCAGACTGCTTTTGCGTGGCTTTCTGAATCACCTGATAACGGCGAGGGGTGACGACCGTCAAACGCAAAGGCCCCCTTCGGCGTGCAGATGGGTCCTTGCTGCGTGGGTGGTCACATTGCGCCCACAGTTGCCAAGACAAAGATTGTGGTTGGTTGGCGGCACGCTAGTCGTGGGAAATGCACCCAGGCGGTACCTTGCGAACTAGCCAGCAGAAGGCCACTTCGAGGCGGTTTTTCTTCGCCAGACCAAGATGGAAATTCGACGAGCACGGAGAGCCCGGAACATTGGTTGAATCTGAGGCGACCATAGTTCATCACAAATCCCAACTGCCATGTTTTGCGGAATGCATTTCGAGGCATGAGGGAGGGGTGTGGCAAGTGACGCAGCAAGCGGCTTACAGTGTGGGGCTTGAGGTTCGGCGACCTTCTGGCGGCCCAGTCCCGACGTTTTTGAAGGAAGTCGGTTGCAATCCGACACTCAAGACTGGCCGCGAGCAAATTTGAGCAAGCTGGCTCTGTTTGTATCACGTCTAAATGAGGAATCCAACGAATGGAAGTTGAGGCGAGCTGCGGTTTGACCACCCGGAATGCTTCACTTGCGGGTCTTGGGAAATGGACGCGGACTTGTGCAAACCCACGGAGACCGGCACCGATGCCGGTGAGGCCTTGCCCACGCACCTTGAGAAATTAATCTAGTTGGTGCACATAGGTAGAGCGACCTGCAGATGATCGAGAATGACGTTATAAATCTCCATCAGATGCAGATGATATGTACATACTGCACTAAGTGTTTTACATACAGCAACAGTGGCCTTGGCCTGTCCAGTGCCTTAGCTAGGAGGGACGAAAGGACAGATCGCTGCAACCAACATAGGCCATAGATCGACGATGTCGATGGGCCAGCCGCGCAACTATATTCAATAGCCTCAATTTGAAGCCACGTGACACTGCCATTTTATTAGCTGGCTCTGGTGCTGTCGTGGTAGCAATTTACAAGACACGTAATTGTCTGTCCCGACACAATATACTCCTGCGGCGAACCCAAGAAATCAACTATCTCAACGGCTCGTAAAACACTCGAATACGGCCTCGCTTCAATGACTGAATTGGTACCTCCTTATCCGTGTCTTCCGAATCCAGGTGTCTTCGCGTTCCAAGGCCTCAAATTATGTATCGTGGATTTGCCCGAGATCTTGAGCCGTATAGATGCTTGACCGAGTGGGAATATCTCCTCACTCGCATTCAGCGACTGGCTTGCGGGTTGTTAACAAGTGTTCTTAAATCGAGCACATGAAGCTACGTGGGACGGTATGGCGTTGTAGGGGTTGCTGTCCGATGGCTTTCCAAGTACGTATGTGCATCCATGTTCAGTATTAGTAGCCAGCGCAGAGCCGCAGACACCCGTCATATATATATATTCGTAGAGACATGTAGTCGCACATAAAATTTCCAATCCTTTGCCGTGCCCCATCAATCTTGTCCTTGAGACCATCGTCATGTCCTACCCGCTACCAAGGACTGCTGCACCAACCGCTGGCGTGGTCATAGTGTGCACGTTCGATGCGAGCAATGCCCAGGATATGATCTTGTCCGCTCCTGGCCTCTGATCGCGAGATTCTCGGGGGTGGATTTGCTCTCCCCATAGCACAGAATCTAGGACGTAGGCTTCCTCTGGATTTGTCCAGCTAAGTCAGAGCTCGATCTAGGCTAGTCCATTGGTATAGTCCAATAGGGTCCTACTACTGTCTTTGGAATCGACAACGAGCATTTGCACTTGGACAGAGAGTGATCGGGGTGCAATGGACGCAAAGCTGCGAATCATGGTGTTGAATGTAGTTGACGAGTACTATGCCTCATCGTTCGTGCAAAATTGTGTACTTTATCAAAAAAATAACATCTCCTATGCATAGTAGCCAGGCTTGAGCTGCCATGGAAATGCGAAGAGCCGATTATCTGGGTTGTCGAAAAGCGACGGACCCTGGGTGATGACATTCGTCAAGGAATTTATTTAGCCGCTCTAATAACGCGTCTGTCTTATTGGGTACCCCGAATTTGGAGGCAGCTGCACCCAACCACCAAGTACCCCGCAGGCTGTCATCGCCAGCCAACCACCAGCTCGCCCAGCCTCCCAACCTGATGCGTGATCCTGAGCCGCCTCATCCACCTCCAACAACCCGACTTGCCGCCCGACAGGAGCTGACAACTGATCGACCACGAGCTGGCAACCTGCGTCACCTCTATCCGGACTGTTGCGCCACGCCACAGCTTTAGCGTGCGGACGTATCGTCTGATAAACTGCCTACACAGGCTCCGAGCATCCGATACCACCTGGCACGAATATCCAACCTGCCTGAGCTGTCCAAGGTCTCTTAGCCACCATGGCGACAGAGCAGGGTGTCGAGTCGCGTGAGTATAAGACAAGGCATCGTAAAGGGGCGGCATCTGACAGACGGTAGTTGCGGCACACCTTAACCTCACGCCCGACGAGAAACGGCTCTATGGGCAGCTGTTCCGACAAGCAGACACTGGCAATGCAGGCGTCGTCACGGGAGAGGTTGCCGTCAAATTCTTCGAGAAGACTAGGCTTGACTCTCGCATCCTTGGCGAGGTGGGTAGCGCGATTTGGTTACGCCGGCGCAAGCTAACAGTGTTGTAGATCTGGCAGATTGCCGACAAAGAGAACCGCGGATTCTTGACGCCAGCGGGCTTCGGCATCGTGCTACGATTAATCGGCCACGCCCAGGCTGGTCGCGAGCCGACCACAGAAGGTGCATTTCAACAAGGCCCTCTGCCGCGCTTCGATGGCATCGATACAAACCCCCCCATGGGCTCGCCCACCGCGCCCGCTGCTCCCATCCAGGCACAGACAAGCGGTGGCGCCATCCGCATTCCGCCGTTGACCCCCGAGAAGGTCTTTCAATATGGAAGCGTCTTTGAGCGCCAGCCGCTGGTGAACGGTACACTTGCGGGGGATCAAGCCAAGCAGATCTTCGAGAAGAGCGGTCTGCCTAACGAGGTCCTGGGCAGGATCTGGATGCTGGCGGACACGGAGCAACGCGGCGCCCTGGTGCAGACCGAATTTGTCATTGCCATGCATCTCCTGACCTCGATGAAGACGGGCGCGCTCCGTGCTCTGCCCAACGTCCTTCCAGCGGCACTGTACGAAGCTGCTACGCGCCGCGGCCCCGCTACCGCAGCGCCCAGACAGTCACCGACAAGCACCGGAATCTCTGCTATTCCACGCCAGATGAGCGGCCATGCCCAGCCCAGGGCTAGCAGCCCGCTCGGCCGACCGCCCATCACCGCGCAAACAACAGGAGGAGATTGGTTGGTGACCCAAGGAGATAAGGTCAAGTTTGACCAAATCTTTGCGGATCTGGACAAGGGAAACAAGGGGTACATCACTGGAGAGGAGGCAGTGCCTTTCTTCAGTCAGTCCAACCTTGGGGAGGAAGCATTAGCCCAGATTTGGGATCTTTCGGATATCAGGTCTTCCGGGCACCTGAATCGTGACGAGTTTGCCGTGGCCATGTTTCTGATCAGACAACAACGTGGTAACCGTACCAACCAGCTACCTACGACCCTTCCTGCGAGCTTGGTACCTCCGAGCTTGCGCCAACAGCGTCCTCAAACCGCGCCCTCGTCCGCTTTTAGCCCTCCGCCGGTGCCGCCGATGCCGCAGCCGCCAAAGTCAGCTCTCGATGACCTCTTCGGCCTCCAGTCGAGTCCCTCGAGTCCTGCCCCTCCGGCAGTCCCCCAGACCACTGGCGGATCCAACGCCGATCCTTTTGCTGGCGGTGCGAGCTCCGCTGGGCCTTCGTCGCCCATCCGAGCTACTGCTACCGGCGCCAACCACAGCACTTTCCCGCCTGCGTTTGTCCCAAGCTCCTCCTTTGGCCGAGGTCTCACACATCAGCCTTCTGGTACTTCCGCGACTTCGCAACCGGTCGGCAGCGATGACCTGCTGGGAGGCGACGATGACGACGAGAGCAAGAAGATCACAGGGGATAGCACTGAGCTGGCGAACCTGTCGAACCAGATCAGCTCACTTGCAAAGCAAACCCAGGACACGCAGGCCAAGAGAACCACGACTCAGACCGAGCTGAACCAGACCAACTCCCAGAAGCAGAACTTCGAGCAGCGACTGAGCCAGTTGAGGACGCTCTACGAGAAGGAAGCCGAGCAGACACGCCTTTTGGAAGAGCAGCTCAAGAAGTCACGGGAAGACACCCAAAAGCTGCAGTCCGAGTGCATGCGACTTGATGGATCTTATCGGGATGCGCAAGCACAGCACCAGGAAGTGTCTGCCGCTCTGCAGGCTGATCAGCAGGAGAACGCGAGGCTGAGGGAGCGCATCCGCGTGGTCAATGCTGAGATCGCCCAACTCAAGCCTCAGATCGACAAGTTGAAGTCGGACGCCCGCCAGCAGAAGGGCCTTGCCGCCATCAACAAGAAGCAACTGTCGACTACCGAGGGCGAACGTGACAAGCTCAAGGCTGAGGCTGATGACTTGTCCAGAGGCGTGGAAGAAACTCCACGTCAAGCTCCAGGAAGCTCCGCTGCTTCGCCCAAGGCCAGCGTTGCCAGCCCTGCACTGTCGACCGCGAGTGGCAACAACCCGTTCTTCAAGCGCACGGCAAGCACCGACATCATGGGTGCCTTTGCCTCGCCTCCTGCCAGAGCGTACACCGACACTAGCTTTGACGATGTGTTTGGCCCTTCGCAGCCCCCTGCATCCAGCGCCACCCCGCCGCCTGCCACGACGTTCAAGCAGCAGCACACTGGGAACTCGACTACTAGTGCTAGCTCGGCTCCTGCGCCTGCTGCTTCTTCGCCCGTCCTGAGTCGCCAGACAACTTCGGCCTTTGAGCCTCCTGCGCCTCCCGAGTCTCACCAGATGAACTCCAGCTTTCTGCCCTTGCCTGATCATTCTGAGTCACTCACCTCCTCACGCCAAGTGTCTCCTCCCGCATCTCGAGGCGAAGGATCGGTTGCTGGGAGCCTGACCCCTTTCCCGGAAGCTTCCAGTAACACACCCAGCGCAGTCGACGTCCCCGGCGCATTCCCAGGCGACGAAGGCGACAAAGACACGCCCAGTGCGACCCCGATCCCCACAGAGCACACTCCGGCGTCTCCGACCGAGGAGAGCAAGGCATCTGACAACCCAGTGCGCGTGTCGGATCCTTTCGGCAGTGCGGACCAGGACCAGGCCAAGGCTAAGGAAGAGTTTGACAGCGCTTTTGCTGCGTTCTCCTCCAACAAGCCGCAGGACAAGGCCAGCCCTGACGCCAGCAAGAACAAGCTGGCCGGCTTTGGCTCAGAGTTCCCTCCCATCTCAGAGCTTGAGCAAGACGACGAGTCTGACTCTGAGAGTGAGAAGGGCGGGTTCGATGACAACTTTGCGCCTCCACAAAAATTCGGCGAACAGACGTTGCCAGAGACGAAGCAGGAGGAGCCAAACGCGGAGCGCAAGAGGTAAGCATCTAACAGCAAGACACGCCAACAGTGCTAATCAGTCTAGCCCCGAGCAAGCATCCTCACCAGCGACAATTACTGGCGGCAACTTTCCAGCTAGCGGACCCAGCCAACCTGATGCCAACCACATGTTTGGCGCTGCTGGCCCTGCGGCATCCCAGACCACGACCCAGCTGCAGCCATCTGTGCCCGCTGCCAAGGGTGCCTTCGATGACGATGATGAGTTTGAGGGTTTGGAGGATGCCAAGGAAGGCTCTGCAGATGACGACTTTGCCAACGTCTCTCGCTCGGGTCTCGACGACTTCAACCCCATGTTCGACAGCAGCCCGCCTCAAAGCCAGGCGAAGAGCGACTCGACTGCCTTTGGAAATGAGAGCAGCTTCGACTTTATCCCCTCCAACACGACGTCGGGAGGGCCTGCGCCGACGAGCGGGAACATGCAAAAGGGTGCCGAGACACACGACTGGGACGCCATCTTTGCCGGGCTCGACTCGCCGACAGCGGCAGCGTCCACGCCTGCCCAGCCCGCGCAAACCGCCAATAACACAAACAGCAGCACGAACGAACTGGCACCACCCGAGAGGCCCGCTGGCCCTGGTCGCGCATTGACTGAGGCCGGTGAGCATGATGACCCCATCCTGAAGGATCTCATGGGACTCGGCTATCCCAGAGGGGATGCTGTAGCTGCATTGGAGAAGTTCGACTACAACCTGGAGAAGGTATGACCTATCGTGTCCTGTATGCTACATCACGAATCCGTGCTAACACTGTCTCAGGCGGCAAACCACCTAGCTTCTCAAGCATAAGCACCCCAGCACGATGACGATCCTTTGCTTTCTTTTTCTTACCGCGGACGCGAGAGACTAGGGCCACTTTGTTCGATAGCTTCAGAGGGAGATGGCATTGCGCAGCGTTCACTTATTCATTGCCCTCTTTTCTTTATTTTCTTGACAGTGTATGGTATGACAGGCGACCTGCAGGCCACGAGGCAAGTAGTATATAATTTCATGCTGTACCTAGAACGCCTGAAATTGGGACGATATGATTCACTACTACTACACTTCGAGCCAATGTTTGCGAGGTCTCCATTTCGCTATGTAAACAAAAATCTGGGGCTGTTGCCCCTGGGCCCGCATCATTTGACCCTGCTCATAATGGTTTCCTGCCCGCCTCTTTGCACGTCAATCTGCGCCGCGCGGGCCTTGACGCTGTTGAGCATGCTTCGCTCGAAATCATCCCTGCTCCGCAGCACGGCTTCCACCCAGCTCAGTTGCAGATCCCAATGTTTCGTCTTGAAATCTTGAAAGGCGTCTGCCACGCCATCCTTGTCGGCGGTCAGCAACTGGAGAAAGGACTCTGTGACGCGCCACGTCTGCTTGATGTTGGATCCGACGTCCGGGCTGGGCAGGTTGCTGAAGAAGTCAAAGGCGACCGAGATGTCGTTGAAGAGCTTGTCCTGGAAGGGGTCCACGCGCCGGAACTTGGCGCCCTTGTTGCGCACCGCGCCCAGGTACCGGAGCAGCAGCTCGTCGGCGAGGGCCTCAATGAAGATGTCGACGAGCGAGTGGTGCAGCACGGCGCGGTAGTCGTTGACGTACTCCTCAAACGTCACGACCATCTGCTTCATGGCGGTCGAGGTGTACCACTTGGGCGTGAAGAAGTCGGGCATGCCGGTGCGGAAGTCCACGTCGAAGATGAGCACGGCGAAGCGCGTCATGCACCAGGTGCTCAGGTCGACGTAGCCGCCCTGCAGGTTGGCCACTTCGGTGGCCGCGCGCTCGGCATAGGCGGGCGTGACGTGCGGCTCGAACGATTGCCGGAAGCTGGTGAGGTAGGCAGGGCGGTTCTCCTCCTCGTTGTCGTCGATGCAGGCGATCTGATCGTTGGCCGTGGCCACGAGCCAGTCCTGCAGTGCCTGGAAGCCCTCGAGCTCGGTCTCGTTGGCGTCTTGGAAGCACGCGGCTTCCGTCTCGAGCATCTGCTGCCACGACCGCTGCCTGTCGTGGAGGCGGAGGAGCATGGCGTCAATGACACCTTCGACAACGTCGGCGCGCTGCGAATTGACGGCCGTGTCGACCTGCTCACGCAGCATTCGCCATAATGGGGCGAGGTTTTTTGTGCGAAAGTACCCGTATTCGTCCTGGTCCAGGTTGGAGCCGCCCTCTGGTCCGTTGAGACTGCGATCGGCAAAGTCGCGTCGCTCCTGGTCAAAGATACGGTCGATCCACTCGTCGAGGAACTTGATGATGAGCTGCCTAAAGTCGCGGACCAGCTCTGCCTCGCGGTTGTCAATGACGTGTGGTTTCAGGTCCTCGGCGCGGAACCCTAGCTTCCCCATCTTCTTGTAGTATTTCTCCGGGAAGCCGATGACCTCCAGCGTGTGCGCCGAGCTGGTGTCTGGATCATCCACGATGCCGACGAGGAAGTCGTGCATGAGTTTGTGATAGATGTCGGCATACATCTTGCTGACCCGCCATTTCTTGGGCGTCAGTGGCGTCATGCCGATCTTGACGGCATTTAGGTCGTTAAAGTACCATTTCATGGACTTCTCCAGCTGCGAGGGGTCCTCGAGGAAATCCTCGCGCGCCTGGTCGAACTGGGACTCGGCGCTGATCCGGATGGCCTCGAGAAACTTTTCCTTGTACCCTCGCACCTTTTTGGCGCCATCGGTGATGCTCTGGAACCGGACGGCCATCTCCTTGTGATCCTTGAGAGCCTCCTGCAGGGCCAGGACGCGCTGGTCACTCTTCTCCTCGGCTTCCATGACGACGGCGAAGCGTACCACGAGGCCGTTGTTGTCGTTGACGACAAAGTTGATGAGGTTCAGCGCCAGCATGCCGACGTGTTCGTCGAACCAGTCGATCGTGTCGTCCAGCCGCTTGAAGTAGTCCTCCAGCGTAGCCTCCAGGCTCGAATCGTCCGCTCTCTTGATCTGCTCCATCGCATCGTCTCTGACGTTGCGCAGCTGCGTGAGCTCGTAGTGGCAGGGCAACAGGTTCGGCATATTCTCCTTGTCCTCGTCGTCCTCGCTCAGCATGGCCTCAACGACGTTGAGCCGCTCGTTGAATGTCTCTAGGTTCTTCCGCATGGCCTCGACGGCGCCAAAATTCCGGTGCGCCTGCGAGACGAGGTTGATGCTCGCAAAGTCCTTGATCATGTTCTGGCTCTCGGAGCAGAGGAGATCAATCTTCATCATCTCTTCCTTGATGGCCTGCACCGTCTTCTGCCCGTCGCCGAGCCCGTTCATGCCCGATTGTGTGAGTTCGAGCTGCTCGCGCAGGCCGTTGCGAAGCTGGCCATCGACAGCGCCCTTTTTTCGGGCAAAGTCCATCTTGAGCGCCGGGATCTTGTCGAGGTCGTCCGGGTGCCGGAGGAGCTCGGCGAGCTTGGGGGCGGGCGAGTCGTCCATTGTGGGCAGAAGGTCAGGTCATTGTACGGGGGAGTGGTCGCTGATCCGGCGCTCTGATGCGCGGCGAGCAGGGGAGAGCAGTCGTATCGTTGTGGGTGTCGTGGGCGTCGTCAGTCGTGAGATCGTGAGGTTGGTGGGTAGGTGGAACATGTACAAGTAATTAGCTGGGGCCCACGGACAGCTAACGTTACGCGCCCGGAGGTGGCTGTGCCATCATGGCGCGTGGAATGCTTACCCTAAACCATGACACCACGTAGACCTACTAGATAGTATGTACCTTCCGTGAGGTAATCGTCGCTTGCCCCTGTCTTCCAGTTGTACTCTGAATTGTTATGAGATATTTCCCAGCAAGTTATTTAATAATTTTAAGGAGATTTGTTAAAGTCTTCGCAAATCTGGTAATACTGCATTTTGATAATTCATCCCACCACGGCCGAAATCAAGACACATCGAAATAAAATCATTTTCTCTTTGTATTATAGTGCTTGACCACCAAAAAAGAAGAATACATCATCATCAAGTCTTTAAGATGCGGCAGTTTGGTATCTTGAAATCCTCACAACCGTGTTGGATGCGCACACCATTGTTTACATTGGACCCCTATTTATTTGCCAACTCCAGCAACGTGGGCTACGCAATGCGCTGCTTTCATACTAGGTAGTACTCATACTAATTATGGTGGTCAAAAGCCTGAGGAAATAAAGTTGAATCGCGTCCTTTACCTCCAGTCCCAGCCTACTGCACGCGCAACTCAAACCCAAAGTCAAAAGCCCTCGTCTTGCACCGATACTTCTCAAACGGCCTTGGCCCCACACTCGCCGACCCAAGTCCGTTATTGTCATAATCAAGATGGAGCACCGTAAAGTCCAGTTCCTCCAGCTCATACGGATGCCTCGCGTCGTTCAAGTCATGCGGCATGAACCGCCTCGCGGTGAAGCTGAACGCCTCTGACTCTGTCCGCTGGATGTGCATGGTATGCTCGCCGTCCGTGAGGGACAGCCAGCGCAGGTCCTCGCGGTTCCCATTCTCCTGGGGAAAGTCGTAGTACTGCCAGAGATCAGACACGGAGGCCGAGTATGTCCCCATGCGGGCGGCTTGCTTGGAGTCCTTGTAGTTCTCGCCGGGCCCGCGCCCAAAGTACGCGACTTGGTCAAACGACTCGGGCAGGATGGCCATGAGACCGATGCGGGGGATGGTTTCTGGTGTATTTTCGCCCTGAAAGTCGCCGCTGGCGCGGATGTGGAGGATGGGAGAACCCGCGGTGAGGGTGTAAATGATGTCGGCATCGACACCCCACTCGAGAACCAGCGGCGCGACACGAACATGGTAGTGTACTATGAGCTGATCGCCAGACGTCTGCCACGTCACATCGCGGACGTGCGTCGCCATGGTTCCAACCCACGCCTCCTCCCACTGGACGGAATCGCCGCCGCTTCCGAGATCGTTCTGTGTCACGGCGCGATAAAAGGAGAGCTCGGGTCCGCGTTGCAGGAGATTTGTGCCGTCGAGGTTCCAGGTGACATTGCCCTGTAGGAGGTCAAAGCCAAAGGTGGAATCACCATTGGTGACGTTGAAATTGGGGCCGTTTTGTGTGATGTTCATCAGTGTCGTCTGGCGAGGGACCAGAGACACACCTTTTGGTGCTTTGGGCCCGGGAAGATAGAGTTGATCCCAGGCAACGACATGGCCTGCTGGCGCCCAGGATGTGGCCTCCTTGAGGCTGAACTCAACCACAAGCCACGACTCCTCAGTAGAGTTACTGTTATGCACGGGCAGGTCAACCGTCCGGCTGTCACGAGGAGGCACCCTCGGCAAGTCGAGGTCCTGGGGGTTTGTCGCCTCTCTGCCGCGGACAATGTGCCACCGGGGCTGTAGATGACTCAGGTCCGAAAACTCGTACCAGTTGGTAATGGTCATCTGCCCAGCGTTCTCTGTCAAGTTCACACTGACAGGTTGGATGATCTTGGCATACTCAGCCAGTGCAGGCGTCGGCGTATGGTCTGACAGGACAAGACCATCCATGATAAAGTCCCCGTCGTTGGGCTCGTCGCCAAAGTCACCACCGTAGGCATAGAACTCTGTCCCATTGTGCTCGTGCAAGAGGCCGTGGTTGTTCCACTCCCAGACCAGCCCTCCTTGCAGGAGTTCTTCTGAGCGGTAGAGCTCGACGTACTCCTGAAGACCACCAGGGCCGTTGCCCATTGCGTGTGCATACTCACACATGATCAAGGGCTTATCCGTGTGGTTCTTGATATGCTCTCGAATCGAGTCAGGACTCGAGTACATTTGACTGTACATATCAGCCGATTCAGCCTTGCGGTCCTGCTCGTAGTGCACGATTCTGGTAGGGTCGCTCTCCTTGATCCACTTGTACATGGCAGCCTGATTGCGACCGTAGTAGCACTCATTGCCCAGCGACCAGATGATAACGGATGCATGGTTTCTGTATCTTGCCACAAGCTGCTCTGCGCGGTCAAGGTAGGCGTGCTCCCAGTCTGGGTTGTCAGACAGCCACTGAGCCGCTTCTTCCTCATCCCAGTTTGCCACCGGACCAAAGCCATGACACTCCAGGTCCGCCTCGGCAATGACGTAGAAACCGAGCTCGTCGGCAACATCAAAGAAGTCTGGGTGCGGAGGCTGGTGCGAGGTGCGGATAGCGTTGATGTTCGATTGCTTCATCCTGATGAGATCGGCGCGCATGGCCTCGTATGGAATGGTGCGGCCAGAAAGGTGATGATGCTCATGGCGGTTGACGCCGTATAGAATGATAGGCTGGCCGTTGACGTGAAAGTTGCTGCCGACAATTTCGACCCGTCGGAACCCGATCTTTTGGCTGATGGTTCTGCTGTTGAAGGTGATCAAGATCGTGTACAGGTGCGGTGTCTCAGCCGAGTAAAGGAGGAAATCATCACCAGTCACCTCGTGTGAGTAGTGCTCATCCGACGAGCCGACCCATTCATCCAAGGTATCGCCTTCAGGAGAGAGGAGCTTGACAGTCATTTCCCCAGACTTGCCCTGCACAGTCACGTTGGCGTGAAACGTGCCGCTCTCAAACGAGTCATCGACTTGAGGCTCGACGTGATAATCTGTGACGGCCGATTCAGAAAAGGGGATGAGGTAGACGTCCCTAAAGATACCAGAAAGCCACCACTGGTCCTGATCCTCAAGATACGACCCGTCCGACCACTGATAGACTCGTGTGGCAAGTGTATTGGCTTCGCCCTCGCTGAGATACTCGGTAATGTCAAACTCGCTCGGATTGCGGCTGCCTTGGCTATAGCCGACTTCCTCTCCGTTGACCCAGACGTGGAATGCGCTGTCCACGCCTTCGTAGCGGAGACGAATCTGCTCGCCCGCCCAGTCGTCAGGCACCTCGAACTCACGCCAGTAGGAGCCCGTGGGGTTGACGTATGACACATTGGGTGGGTTCGCGGGAAAGGGGTAGTTGAGGTTGGTGTAGTGAGGCCGACCGTAGCCCTGGCGCTGCCACATGCCGGGGACCTCAATGTCGTCCCAGTCCGTGACATTGGCCGTCTCCCAGATGGGAGCGTCGAGGGGCGATGCGTCATAGTGGAACTTCCATGTCCCATTCAGACTGTGATACAGACTGTTCTCACGGTCAAACGACAAGGCAGCATCTTCACTGCCGTACGTGTAGAAATGCGCACGGGGAGGCAGGGTGTTGCGATGCAGGACGTCAAGGTTCGTCCAGTCCGGTAGAGCAGGCGGCCAAGAGCCAGACATGACGGCCGAATCCATAGTGAAGACGTGCTGGTGTAAAGGAGCCTGGGCCACCAGCTGCGCACCTGTGAGGACGTGCATGGTGACGGTCGTTTATATACCCCGTTCGTAGACCACACCCAGTATGACCATGACCATGAGTAGCTTTCGTGCTTCTCACCCACATCACACGGTCTGTCTGGTGACGTCGCCTCGTGGCCCTCGTCAACCTCGACGCCCTTCCTTGTGTAGCATTCGCCGTGGGGATGTGACGACGACGCAACGTCTGCAACCAACGCTCTCTCGGAGTGATGAAAGCCTTATGCAACCTTGGTGTACTCTCAGCGGCCGGCTGAAAGACTCAACTCAGATCGACATGCGTGTGCTTTGGCGCGCCTATCACCAACACGGGTCGTCGACAATCCTGTGGGGTAGGCAACAGCCGTCGGCTCTCTGGGTAAACAGGAACCTCCTCGTCGGTCGTCCTATGGGATATAGCCGTGCATGAGCATGCAGACGTTAATTTAAGCTTGGCGATGGGAGGTGCCGGTCCTTGTGGGGCAGAGATGTGCCGGTGTGTGGAATGAGTGAGAAGCTGGCGTGACTTCCCACCAAGTTGGCAGAGTCGATGTGACTAGATGTTCTCGCGGAGGGAGCACCAAGTAATAGCGCACTGCAACGTCATTGAAGCTGCAGTCTTGTTATGCCGCTCAGTGAAAGCTGTCTGCGAGGTGTTCAGGCGAGGTGTGAGGACCGGGGGCAGTGAGTGTAAGGAGGGCATGTCAGAAGCGAGGAGAGTATCCGTACGTATTGGCTACCCTTGAGCACTGTCTCCACTCAATTCCGACAATATGATAGCGCCCCCCTTATACACCAAAACGGCATCGCGAGATTTCGGCATGAACATCATGGCATTGCAGCAACACAACACTTTGTTCTGCGCCTTGGAACAGTTTGAAATGTGATACCTTTGTGCACATAGACCGGAGAGCTGAGAGAGGACCCTCGCCGCGACAGCAATCTCCGTTGAGCAGGGCAGTTTCTCTTGTTTGGCGGGCCGCGTCAGTTTCTCTGTCCCTTTCAAAAGGAAGAAGAAGAAGAAAACCGCTCTTCCGCCAGGCATTAACAAGAAACAATCATGCCCCGTCTCAAGACTCTTGCCCTCGGCCTCGTGGCTAGGCTTGCCGCCCAGCTCAACCAAGCGCAGACAGCGTCCCCCCGGCCGACACCAACGACGCCGCCAGACTTCTCTGTGCCGCTCCCTACGCACGGGCCCATGGCCGCCAACTGCAAGGTCTACTGGCAGGCCGGCCGCGCCGACACATGCGTAGAGGCCGTCGCAGAATATCCCCTGATCAACCAGGAGCAGTTCCTGTCGTGGAACCCGTCGCTCCAGGGCCACTGCAACGGCCTCTGGGCGGACACTTGGTACTGCGCCGTGGCCTTTGACTACGACGACCTCCCCATGCCGGCGACCGTGGCGGCAAAGCCGACCCCTCTGCCCTCGGGCACCACGAGCCAGTGCCGCTCTTGGTTTCGAACCCGCGGCCCGGACACGTGTGCCCTGATTGTCGCCATGTTCGGCACCTTTTCCGAGGCCGACTTTATCAGTTGGAACCCCTCTGTGCGCAGCGACTGCTCCGGCATCGTGAGCGACGGCATGTACTACTGCGTCGGCGTCCCGGGCACCCCGACGACGCGCAGCAGCGCCTTGTCCGTACCCACGCCCACGCCGCCGCCGACTGGAACCGCGGCGCCGGGGCCGACGCAGAATGGAACGGCAGCGGACTGCTCCCGCTACTGGCTCGTTTCTGCCGCGGACACGTGCGAGTCCATCGCCGAGAGGGCCGGCATCGCCCAGGACAGTCTCAAGTACTCGAACCCAGCCCTAAAGGATGACTGCAGCGGCCTGGAGCTCGACGTGTACGTGTGCGTCGAGCGTCCTGACTCTGCTGGAGGCGGCGACGGCAGTGGCCCATCATCTGTAGCAGTAACCTCAGCAAGCGGCACCACGCTGCCGCCCATGCAGACCGGCATGGTGCAAGGATGCCGCAAGTTCTACTACGTGCAGTCAGGGGACGGGTGCTGGGCCAATGCCAACGCCAACGGCATTGAGCTGAGGTGAGTTTTGACCACCTTACCTAGAACCACTTGCAAAGATGCAATGGCTTTTTCGGATGGACTTGCTGACCAGACATCTTTCAACTCTCAGCAGCTTTTACACGTGGAACCCAGCTGTTCACAGTGGAGGCAAATGTGCAGGCCTCTTGCCAGATGTGTTTGTGTGTGTTGGAGTATGAGCTTCATGTGTCGCCTTGCCGGTTCGTGTGTACAAGAGTAGAGAGTGCGATCTATTGTCCGTCTGCGCTCAAGTTAGCCGCGGCCCCTCCCGTCCACTTGGCTAAGAACTAAATGTCCCGAATGGTGCCCATAGTTCCCAGGTCTGCCCTGATAATCCCAGAACAGACCAGACTCCGTGCCCTGCTTGATGTAATAGAACAGCTCCTTGTCGCTGCCTGCTATCGGGTACCGCAGCCATCTCCACCCCTCGACAAGGTGGTGTTCCCGCGCCTCCCTGGCAAAGACCTTGAGGTCGACCAGGTCGTCGAAGACGGCGATGGGCAGCTCCACCACAAAAGGCTGTTCCTGGGTCGACGCAAACGGGGCGAACCCTTCGGCCAAGGGTTCGAGTAGCATGGCCTTGAGCTCGGGCAGTCGAGCTGCCGGGCGCGTTATGTGGTCCTCGTACAAGTAGTCGGTAAAAGAGACGACTAGTGTCTGCAAACCGGGGAACGTGGCCTTCAACCCACCCACGTGTGGCATAGACCGCCGCCCGTTCCAATTCGGATGGCTCTCCCGGTATGCGCCACCGTAGTCCTGGCCCGGCGTCGGGAAGAGCATGGTGTCTATGCGCACTTCCAGCGACTTGATCAGGGCCAGGTGCTGGGGCCGAACCACATAGCCTTGACTCCTCTCGGCTGGGTCGAGCAAGAGGTCGAGCAGTTCCTGACTTTCCAGGATGAACACGTTGGAGCCGTAGAGCACCGAGATACCCTGCAGCCAGCACATACAATTCCCGTCGACTCCAAGCGGAGGAAAGCTTTGATAGCACACACTACAGTGTTTTGCTGTGAATATACATTCCTAGTCGATCAAGAATGCTATGCTTGGGTATCATGCGTCTCGTCTCCCCACTCCTCCTCGCTGCTCGTGCCTTCGCTGCTGGTATCCGATGTGTCATCGCCATCCTCACTTTCGTCCTCGTCAAAGCTCTCCTCACCAACGACTTCACCAGCCTCGAGTCCGCCGGCCATGAGCTCGTCCTTATCGCTGCCCACTTCCCCTTCCTCGCGATCTCTCCTTTGCCGCTTGCCGCCCTTGGCATGGCTCATTTCCGTGGCTGCCTTGCGCTTCGGTCCCTTAGTCAACTTTTTTGGCCCAAGCACGTAGCCCTCAGGCAGGGCCATGCCCTGATGTAGCACGAATATGGTCGGGAACTCGAGCACATTTGTATCCTTGAGCACGTCTCGGAGACACTCGTCGACACCCAGCTTCGTAACCACCCGCGCCTTACCAGCTTGTCGCACGGGGTTGGCGAGATAATAGTCGTACGCTGCCCGTTGACGCCGATCCAGCTCAGTGGGCCAGACACCCGTGGTTTCAATCGGCGCTGCGGGCGACCACTTTCCCGTCTCGGGGTCTTGGAACATATCCGCGACCGTGTTCCACGACTTGTCAGCCGGGAGTTGGGAGAAGAATCGGTTCGCCCGCCCAGGCCCCTTGACTTGGTTCTTCTTCGTCGTCGTCGTCGTCGTTTCCCCCGGTATGGCATGGTACCCAGCATACAGCGGCGTGTCCTCGTAGCACTTCCAAAGCTTCCTCTCGCCAAGCTCCCCATTGTCCCGTACGTGTTGCCATTCCACCTGCCAGTAGATCAACCCGCTCTTCCTATTAAAAGTGGTCGTGTTCTCCGTCATCCTCTGCATCCCCATCGGCGCGTACTGCACATTCACCCCCTGCGCTTGGAGCCGCCTCGTCAACGCCGCATCCGTCTTCCTCCCCTTGGCCTCGCGCAGCACTCGTGTGACGACGACCCGCCTCTTGCGGCCGTCTTTCCCAACCTTGAATTTGGTCTCTCGGATCGTGAGCGGTCGGAGCTCCTCTTTCTGGACCAGAGCGCGCTCTTCGACGAGCTCCTTCTCTGTCCGCTCCACCGTTCGCTCCAACTTTTTGAGAAAATTGTAGTCATGATCGATGCCGGCGGCAGTTTTGAGGTTCTTGGGCGGTATGTAGACGGTTGGGTCGCGTTCGCCGGAGCACGAAGCCCATGATTTGTGCTTGCGGATGCAGGGCAGAGAGCAGGTTCGGACAGCGCATCGGGGACAGCGGTATTGAGGCGGCGCAATGTGACAGATTGCACATAGCGAGGTGAGGAGAGGATCGGCCATGGCTTTCTGCCAATAATTATGTTACATAGACGGTGTTTGCAAAGATATGGAGTCTACAAATTTCAGTCGAGATGCGCAGCTGAGAGTCAACAATCTGTCGAAACTTTATTTGCGAGGTCTTATCTAATCGCTTATCTTATCAGTGACGTTGGCCAGAGCTTGACGCGGTAAAGCCAATTCTCACTGCCGCCCAAGGTCAAAATACACTTGCAAGCTTGTCAGTTGAATTAGGTGCTGAAAATGTGACAAAGAGTGGTTACTGGATACTTAGATGTGTGCTACATGGTCGTAAGTGATCAATACTCAACTGCACCTTGGTATAAGTCGCAACATCCCGCGCGTGGTCACTTGTAGAGTCAAGAATCAAGACATTAATGGAATGTTCATTCAATGGCGCCGTCGCCAGGCTAAGGAATGTCGCGAATGGAATGTAGACTCGCTGCCGTCCCCTCCTACAACAACAGATACTAAGGGACTGTGATGCGCTGTGGAGAAGGTTGTTCAAGTGCCTTGTATTATTACAAAAGAGATAGCCGTTGAGGCTCTATTTATGCGTTCTTGATCGCATGATCCTATCCTCTTAGAGCCTTCCTCTCTAATTTCCTATGTTCCGGGTCGTTTACCTCCGGTCTCACTAATTTCAGGTTCTCACCCTTCCGGTGTTACCTTTTCACCGCTAACGGCAGAATCTCAATCGAGCCTAGCCCCGCTGTAAGGTAGGCTCATCATCACAGGGACCATAATGGAAGTGACGTGACTACTACTAGTGAGGACCGAGGCCGGCTTGCAAACCCATGACAATCAATGAAAAGGAAGATGTGGTGCTGCCTTCGTTCCCCATCTCTCCCGCAGCACCAAAGAAACAACACAATGAAACGCCAGAAGCCCGCAGGTTTTGTGTGATCCAATCCGCCAATCAGTCGAAAATAAAGCTGCTCAAGGATATATCGCGTCTAAAGAATCTGAAGAGGAGGCCGTGTCAAAAGGCGCGCTGACGTCGCTCTGCTTCATTGCGCCGTTCAGCGCGAGCCACCCAGAGCGCTGATGCGCGCTCCAGAAGGTCGGTGCAGGAGTGTGTCAGAGTGCTTGGACACAACGCCATTGTTGTTCTCGTTGGCGTCCTCGTACTCCTCTTCGTCATCCTCGACAATCTTGGTCGGGATATCCTCGCGAACAAGGAACTGCTGGCTGCCGCGCTCGGGTGTGGTGGCCGTTGTCGAGGCAAACGACATGGCGGTGCTGCTCCTGTTGGGGATCAGGTCTGGGGTGGGAGGGATGCTCGAGGCACGGCCCGAGGGCTGGAGCATACTGTCGTCGCCCGTCTCCGAAGTGGCCGCAGAGTGGCCGTCGTCGCTGTGCGCCGTTGACAGGGCGCTCTGGCGGCGGTTGTTGCGCAGCTCGGATTCCTGAGCCAGCTGGAGGCTCTCAACCGCAGCCTGGCACTGCTCCGAAATGTTGCGCACAATGTGGGCGATGGCGTCCGTCTTGTCCTTGAGATGACGGTCGGCAACGTCGATGAAGCTCGACGCAGAAATGCGCTTCTCGCCGCGGCTTGCAGGCTTGAGCTTGGCGTGGTCCTCACGGGAGATACCCTTCTCCTCAGCCTGACGGGCCTCCTCAGCTTCGGCGGCTTGCTCCTCGTCAAAGCCAGCCTCGATTTCGCTGAGCAGCTCCTCAGGCTTGGTGAGGGTCTGGACAAGGTGCTCCATGTGGTGGCTCTGGCCACCCACAAGGCTGCGCAGGTGCAGCACCACGCGCCGGGCCTCATCGCGCTGGCGCATGATTGTGGTGTTGGTGTGTTGAAGCTGGGACAGCTCCTTCTTGTTGCGCTTGCGCTCGCGCTCCAACTCCTCGGCAATCTCCTGCTGAAGGACAAGGGCCTCGAGCGCATCGTCGCGCTGCTTCTCGGTACCGGTAAGGCGTACCGAGAGGCGGGCGTTGTCGTCCTTCTGCTGGTCAATGAGGGTCGCAAGACGGCGGTTCTCCTTCTTGTGGCTCTCAATCTTGACCTTGAGATCCTGAGTCTCCTTGGTGAGCTGGTCAGCAAACGCTTGGAATTTGAGGAATTGCTGCTTCCAGTTCTCGAGCTCCTCCACCAAATAGTTGTTGCGCTTGTTGACTTTGCTCAGCTCAGTGTCCATGCGGCCCTTGAGGTTGATGAAGTCTTGCCAGGCCTCGAGGGCGTCACGCGAGTACTGGTTGCGCTCGCGGACAATCTCGTTGAGGTGGCGCATTGACACCTTTGTCATCAAGGGCTTCTTTTGCTGACCTGCAAAGACAGCCTTGATGCCAGTGTTGCGGCCAACCTTTTCACACACGTGGTCCATGACGGCCATGACGGAGTCCAAGTTCCACCATTCGGGCTCCTGGATCGACTCGACCTCGCCCCGCATGACAATGATCTGGCCAGCCGGGATCAGCTTGCCGCCGCCATAGGCAGATCGCAGGTGCTGGGGCACACCAGATGGTGTCACATCACCATTGAGAGCCTGGGTCAAGCGGTTGACAAACTTGTTGCGCTGACCGGGGTTCAGAGCAGTTGGGGGGTCAGATGTGAGAACAAAGTTACGGTCGAGATCCACCACCAGCGCATCGGTGGGGGCTGTGAAGAGAGAGCGGCACTCGGCCGTGATGCCCAAGATGTACGGTCCGGGCTCCTGGACGAGCTCGGCAGCGTGCCGGGCGTGGACGACAGGCACGTATAGGCCACTCCACTCGTACACGCGGACGCAGTAGCGAATTGTCTCAGCAGCCATTGTGAGCATAGCAGGGTAATGGCTGACGAAAATGATTCGGCGGGTTGGCGAGATGGCGGCCTCGATCACGCCCACAATGTTGGGGATTGACAAACAGGCGAACAGGGGCCACATGGCGAAGTTCTGGAAGCCTGTCGGTGAAGAGGGGAATTGGTAGCAAAGCGCATAATCTTTCATGTCGATTCTCACAAGGTCGTTGAGACGCGGCGCCGGGAAGCTGAGGATTCGAGACACCTCCTCGGCGTGGAAAAGGTTGGTGGCCTTGTTCCAGTGAATCCACATACCACGGAGATAGTCGCCCAGGAGGTTATAGAGGGGGTATCGTGACAGGAAAGAGAGACAGTATGGGATCCAGTACGTCTCGTCGGGGCTGTCGTAGTAGTCGGACTCTGTCCGCTTGCGCAGGTCGCGGATTGTCTCTGCGCGCTTCTCGTCTGCTCGCGACCAAACACGCAGCGAGATTCCGTACAGGGTGTGCGAAGAGTCTTGCTGCAGGACAAAGGCGTGGTGGACGCAGTGCGGCTGGCTGCGGCCAGTGCAGATCTCGACATCGTGGGGGAAACAAGCCTAGAGGGGTCAACAATGGGAACAGGTGGTGCTTTTCGGGAGAGCTCACCTTCATCGCAGCATGCAACGCACGGGCAATCTCGTTATCCTGCTCCAGCCTGGGGCTGCTGCCGAGGATCTCGGGCAACCAGAATTGGCCAACCGCTCCCTTCATGTGGCCAATCTTGCCCTGAGTGGGCGCTGGGGCCTTGACCCATTGTGAAGGCTCGCGGCCGACACCACACACCATGTACGCATGTGTGAGTGTCTTGGGGGTCCGTTGTTGAGGCTTCGAGGCGAGCGTGGCAGGGGCGGGTTGGGTGATGCGCGAGTGAAGAGACGAGGTGCGGCTGGGTATCAAGAGGTTGTCAGCACCGCCCTGATCGCGCGTGCTGGGCCGGCCATCACGTTCGCTGGTTCTCGGGCGTGTGAAAGAAGAGTGGGTGTTGAGAGAGGGAGCCATGGCGAACTACGATACTGTCGAAGTTGGTTGTCGAGGGTGTTGGTATCTATCGCCGACTCAATGGCGTGTTCCCCAGAGGCTCTCTGAACAGGAGAGGAAAGCTCAGCGGGCCATCCGTCAACGAGGACGAACAATTGACCACGGGCGGAGACCTGGCTGAAGAAATGAACGACTGGTTGTGAGATGCTGGCGATGGTGCACTCAGAGGGGGAAGGAAGAGAAGGAAAGGTGAGGTTGCTACAGTCCGGAGCTGGACGCCAGAACCGAGAAAAGAAGAGGAGCGAGTGGGCGAGTCGAAACAGGCGTCCGGGACCTGCGTGAAGATGCTGCCCGGACAGGGATCTGGTGATGAGAGAGTGGGAAGCTGCAAGGGTAGAAAGGAGAGGCCCCAGCGAAAGGTACGTCCATAGGGTACGTACCGGTCGCGGGAAGAAGCACTGACCACACCCGTGGCTGACTCGAGGCCCGGGCCATTGTTCGAGTACATGCAAAGCCTTGTGTTTTCGCGGGTTAGACAGGTACCCCGCGACGACCAGTCGAACTGCCGCAGGAAGAGCTAGCCCAACTCGGACTAGCCCTCTTTTTATGACCACTGAAATCCAGACGCCGTCCGTGTCGCGGGCGAGCAATCGACAGGGGCGCGCAAGGACCCTGGCAATATCGCGGTCTTGGCCAATTTATTCCAGGGGCGCGACCAATTGACGTTGGGACGCCTCTCATGGCCCAGCCAAGGGGAAATTGTCTCTTCCCAAAGTCCAAAGTTTGCCGGCGATCCAGAGGGCACTGCGGCAGATAAGAGACGAAGTGGTGGGCAAACACACAAGCACATACTGTATGCGTCAGTGACAGCCCCTAGCCTAGAATAATGGCAGAGAAAAAGAAAGAAAATTGGCCACACAGTGGCGCCTGGGCTCGTGACGCAGGGCGGGCACTTCCATCTCGCTATAAGAGTGTCCCTGAATAGCGCGTCATCAATTGCTTGTTGGGTGTCGAGGGGTCGTCGACTGGAGACGGCGGCGAGGACAGACTTGCTAGCAAGCCAATGTTCGCACGCGTGCTGTGATCATCCTCAGCCGTTTGCCAGCCCGTAAAGTGCAGTCAACTGCGATCACGAACCAATGTCCAAGCCTTTCCAAGACTAGTCAATGCTTTCTGATGGCGGGCCTGTCTGTCCATATCCTGATTCCTGATATTAGTTATCAGCTCGTTATAATAACTCCGCCCGAGCCAATATATGGAGGTGAGGTGCGCCCGTCTCCACCACACCCTGACCTGTCGACTCAGCCAGCTCGTTTCAGCTTTGAGAC